GTCCAAGCGGAGCTGACGTGGTCCTGGAAGCCTGCAGCCGCCATATGAATTCCGCAGTGGCCAGGAATCGAACCCAGGTGGCGGTACCCCCAACTGGAGGCCCTTTACCACTAGGAGACAACTCCTGGTTATCGCCGAGACGTTGTTTACCCATCTATGTTTTGATCCAGCATTCTCAATCTATTTTTGTATTCTAAACAAAACTTAATTATACAATTTCCTCACTTTTACCTAAAATAATCAATTCACTACAGAATATAGTAATTATGTTTTAGTTAATACTTTAAAAGAAAGGTTATAAATTAAAGTCTTGTAGTTTCTTTAACTATCATTTATAAGAAAATACGTTTGATAAAACATTAACAACTATGTAACTTAAGTAAAGGAACTTATAAATGTATGACTATCTTGCTTGTAAAACATCGCACCCAAAACTCAAAACGATTAGCAAACAAATTACTTCTATTTCTTTTTGTTAAAATTTCTATAGAAAATGAAGACAATTTTCTTCTTTATAACTCTTGCAGTTCTTGTTTCATCCTGTAAGTTTATTCTCGTTATATACAATAGTTTATAGTCTAGAATAATATATTAATTTAATAGTTTCATTTTCTTTTGAATTATTTTTAGGTGCATCAAATATTATGACAAAATCTATTCCAGAAGAAAAAACTCAGTTTTCCAATCCTCCATTAAGCTCTGATATTGATCCAGTAGACGAACATGTTGGACACTCTCCCGATGACATGAAAATATTTTTTTGCCAAGAGTGTGCATATCATTGTCTTGAGAAAAGGAAGAATGTATTTAGCTGTGAAAATTCTATTTGTCGTTGTACTTTCGACGACATTCTGTAAGACATTACTTTTTTAAAATAATTTATTAATAAAATTAAATTCTTATATATAAAAAGTTAAATTCTTATAATATACTATATTTATTTGCTGGTTTTATTTTTTCATTTTTCCACTTATTTTAATCCATATGTTATGTATACATGCATTTGCATGAAATGTTTTATTAGGTTATTGAACCTAACTAAATGAGTTAGCTAAACTAAAAATTATAATGATATGCAATATATAAAAATAGACATAATAGAGAAAATGAGAAAGTATAAAGGCAAAACTAATTAGGGTTTATTTCGAAATCTAAAGATCTTCTTTGGTTACCGTAAAATAAAATCAAGATGCTAAATATGCTATTAAATGGATTTTTGTGATAGGAATCGTTGTTAAGTTTTTGGGTCAAATCATTAAATTTTTAACTGTTTAAGGTTGACTCCGACGGTAATTTTAAAAAATATCCTCCTCTTAAATTATTGATAGAAGATTTGAATTTTCATGGAACGTCAAATGATGATACTTTTTGTTCGGAGAAAAACGAAAAAATAAGCGATTTAAAGAACTACTTTTAATTTTAAACATTTGATCATTCACATTCGGACGATTCATATACGATCTCTACAAATTTGGACTAGAGAACATGTTTATTTTATTCCAAAGAAAAAATATATTAAATTAATCACAAAAGTTCACGTGACCAATGTTTCACACATGAAGATATGCATTTATTTATATTTGGTGAAATAGAAAATAATTAGAACGAAAAGAAAAGAACAGACGAAACTATATGAATTTTTTAATGTTATGAAGTAATATAACTTAGAGAAATTACAATTGCATATAAATCAAGCCAAAACATGTTCTAAAGTATCTTTATAAAAAAGATTTGAAGGTTTTAGTGGCCAAAGCTAACCTTCTGATCGATACGAAATTTTTTCCAATTCGATCTCACATATGTCTAAGAAGATTCACAACCTGATCTTTTGACCTTCTATTACTTCAATAGATGGAGATTTTCATAGAATCAAGAGGAAGTGAAAATGATATCACTGTTACAATTCTTAGTTTTCTTAAGTGAATTCTATACATTGATAAATTTGTAACAAAATCAGAAGACTTGAAATCAAAGAGAGTCAATATCGGGCCAAGCCCAATTTAAGAAAATAGTCCAAAAAAGCCTTTTATTACTTTAAGAGAATGTCAAGAAATAAGTACGTATACGAATGACACGTGTCCTTGTTCTTTCTCTTCGTCTATAAATACCAATTTATCATTCTCTTACCAAAGTTTCTCTTTTCTTCGCTGGGGGGTTTTAGAGAGAGAAACAAGAGAGAGAGATATTCTTCTTCTTCCCACATCAAGAGCCAACCCATCAAAAAATTAACCCGTAAAAGTTCATTTTTTTTTCAAAAATAAAACCTTCACAGAAGAACATTTACATATATACACACAAAGAGAAGGTATATATACACATACATATGCCAACACATATAGATTGGAAGAGAGATGGGTGAGAGAGAAAGAGAGAGATTGATATTTCTCACTCTGAGATCTTCGAAATCGCGTTTTTGATAAAAATGAAGCTGTTTTATAGCAACATCGTTTGATTTCTTTACTAAAAAGTTTAGATTTTTGAGTGAATTTTGTTCGAAAGTTTTGAAATTGGATCCACCCAGATACTGAAAAGCTTGATTTTTTTTGGGTTTTCTGATAAATTTGGTTTTGTTTACTTCAAACCCACACGGAGAGAATTGGTGCATAGCTTCCACTTTACGTTTCTTTTGAGAAGTTAGATGATTTCACTTGACATTTTGTTTTTTTTTTCAATTTGGTTTTTTAGGGTTTTGATTGGATCGTCCTTGGAATCGGCCCTAATTGTGGTTTTGTATACTAGTAAAAGCTCAAACCTTTGGAGTGTGAGGATTGATTGATGCGTGAGTCCCCAATTGTCCAATTGGGTTTCTCCCACGGAGTTGAAATTTTGATTGATTAAGCTAATAAGGTGCTTTTGAGATGCTCATAACTTCAAACCTTGTTAATGTGAGTTGTGGAAAGTGGTTCTGATCTCGGTTTCTGGTGATTTGGTTTTGTGGCAGGCTATTTAAATCTCCAATCTTGGGGTATCACTCTTATTCAACCAAAGTTGACCCTTATCAGAGGGTTCACAAGTGTAACTTAGAATTTGATTTCTTGGAGGACGTGATTATTGCGGATCGGAAAGTAAATTATTGCGAGTTGGAAAGTAAATTTTGAGTTGGTATGGTATACTGGATCATAGATACTGATCTGGTCAAGTGTTGGGATAAAGGAGCCAAAAAGTAGGGAGTGTGGTTAAAGTATACCACTTTACAGTTCCCACGGACAAGTGCCATGTCTCGCTGCTTCCCATTTCCTCCACCAGGATATGAGAAGAAGATTAGAACTGACGAAGCAGACCCTCTTATAAAGGTTCATATGTCAACTCTTACAACTTATCTACTTTGAATCATGGTTTTTCCTGGGGTTTTAGAACTTAGAAACAAATTTAGGAGGAAACTCATGGATAGCATGAGACTGGAGTAGAATGGGTCCACGGAACTCTCTTTGTATTGATCGTTTGCGTTGTTTTCTAGGACATATAGACATACTTGGTAAACCCTGCTGAGTAGGAGAATTCTAGACTGCAGCATTAGTTTCTTGTTATTATGGAAACCTCATTGCTAGGTGGTTAAACCTTGAATTTTCTCACGTAAACTATAGTTAATAGTAAGGATTTGACTATCTCTTACAAGAGCATCGCTGATGCTGATGGATTGATACTTATATGTGAGAGAGATCATCAGAGATTTATCTTTTATCATCTATAAAATAGTATCTTTCTTTTCTTGATTCTGCGAGAATGTTCCTTTGTCTCCTACTATATATAGCACACATATAGGGCTGATGGCTACTACATTGACTTAAAATGATGAGGTGCAAGCTTTCTCGTGAAGGGCTGTTCATTTAGTTTGTTTCAGAATCTTAGATGTTAGAATTATTTATCTCATTCATTATTTTCACAAGGATTTGTTTATTTGGCCTGAAGACCATAGTAGTATCTCTTTAAAATCACAACCCATTTAGGATAAGACTATTTGAGGACCGGGAGATAGTGAGGGTGATACTCTTTGCATTGATGTAGTCCTATATATGTAGGTGGAAACAGGGGAACGGGTCAGATTTATCCTGATGGTGACTAGCCATATTAAGACACTGCAGTAAATGGTATTCAGAAAGAGTAGCAAGGAGCTTAGGAATTAGTTATGGAACTTGAACTAACTAAGCTCCTTGCTACTAGTTAGACTAGTTACCTACTAGAGGATAATTTCCTTGAATTGGAGAAAACCCGCCAACAATGCATATCCATTTTTTTCACTGATTTTGCCCCCGCAACATTATGGAAGCTCATATTGGTTTTCAAAGTCCTATCTACCAGAGCATGGTAAACCTTGTCTGCTAATAATTGAGGGATTTAGAGACTTTCGTTCTTGCTTCAAGTGTAATTCCCTTGTGGACAATGAAAATTTTGTGCTGAACTGCTTTTGTATGCTATCTTGATACTTCTGCCATGTATAGACTAGTCTTTTTTATGTGGAACTATATGCTGCTGCCTTATATGTTTATATTTTGTGATCTTTCCTTATATGTGTATATGTTTTTCTTCATGGGATGTAAATTTCAGGACAAGTACAAGGAAAAGAAGCATAAGAAGGATAAAGAAAAGAAAGAGGGTAAAGAGAAAAAGAGTAAAGATAGAAGCAAAGACAAACAGAAGGAAAGAAAGGAGAAAAAAGACAAACATAAAGATCGGAAAGAAAAGGAGAAAGATAAAGAAAAAAACAAACCTTTGGAGGAGAAGAAAGCCGAGGTGCTGACAAACACCGGGCACAGAGAGAATCTTGTAACAGATACCGTGCAGAATAATAGTAATGGAGAGTCAAAGTATGTACAGGACCTGGCAAGAAGGATCAGATATGACGAAGAAGCAACAGGAAGTCAGAGTGAACAAAAGATTGATCATCCTAACCAAAAAAATGTAGGAGTAACAGGAAAAGCATTTGAGAACAGCCCAATTGAAGAAACAAGCCATAGGGTAGATGCCAATAAGAGAATCAATACCCAGAACTTTACAGCGGCAAAAATTTCTGAAAATGCAGTTTCTCGAGTATCATTTGGTGCTGATCAGAAAAGAGCTGAGGTTATGGGTAAACCAATGGAGACCAGAGACCAGGCAAGGCAAACAGAATCAGCTGAAAAGTGTCACCGCAAGGAAAGTGTGACCAAGAGTGATAAACCAAGGGATCAAGAAGGGGTAAAGAAGACTGAAGCAAAGGATAAAGACAGAAATAAAGAGAAGAAAGAGGAAAAACCAGAGTCAATAAATAAAAATCGTCAGGAGAAACCAAAATTGATAGGAGGGCCCAAATTAGAGAAAAGAGAAAAGGACTCTCTGCCTGAGGTTTCACGGGCGAGCGTCAAGAACCTTATTACCGAGGGAAATCTTGGCAAACGGAAGGATCATATGACAAATGGATTCCTGTATGGTGAGTTATTCTCTGATCCAATTCTCTGTCTGGTGAATGAGGAGTGTAGTTGCCATATTAACCATCGTATGATATATGGTTTGGTACTTAGAAGCATCTTATAGTTTTATCCAATCATGGTATGTTTTCTTACCTTAAAAGATTTTTTAATTTATGGGTATCTGAGTAGTGTGGCAGTTATTTGGAGTAATGATGCAAGATCCGTTTTTCTTCGTTTTGGTCTGAAATGTTAACAATGTAGTTTCTTAACTGTTTGTTTTAACATTAGTCTTAAATTCTTTCGCAGAAAATGGAACCACGCCACACAAGTTACAGAAGCTGAGTGCTTCTGTACCATCTGTGGAAAATGGAAGAATAATAGGTGCACCCCGAACTCCTCCAATGCCTACTTCTGAGGTGCAAGGAACGACTTGCAAGCCACAAGTCAAAGAAGTTAGAATTAACGGTTTTGCTGTCTCTGGAGAAAACCATAAAGTCTGTCCACCAAGCCCTTTGGCTGCAACGATGAAAGTGAAAGTCAAGGAAAATGGTGAAGCATCCGCAAAGCCGCCTCATCCTGACCTAAAGTATCTCAATCAGATACTCAATGTACCAACAAGGGAGCTGTTGCTGGAGGTTGATGATGACCAAGAATGGCTACTTGGTCAGTCGGGTATCAAATTAAAAAAGGCGAGAACGGATCCTCCAGATTCTGGCGAATCCTTGGAGGTCTGGAACCAAGCTTTCAGAATAGAATCTGCGGATATCGCAGCTCTTCCTTATGTAGTTCCATTTTAGCTGTGACTATATTCTCGGATGTTCCTACGCCACAGTCCATGAAGAGAACTATCCCTCACACAACGCCACTTCGCAGCAGTGTTTGCTATGTTAGCAGCAGCATCTATGATGGCGCTATAAAGGAGACCGACACAGCACTCCATTGCTCCCCAAAGCTTATGAGCAGGGATAAAATATGTTATACGCCCATAATATGAACACCCACAAAGCTCTGCATGGGTGAGGAAAAAGAATGAATGAGGAAGATGTAAGTAGAGTAAGTTTATAGAGAAGTTGATTGTTGTTGACCAGTTGCTTGACATCATGTTGTGTTATAAGGACAAGGATATGTGTGGCATTTGGTTCTGCACACAATTTTGATTCCATGCTTGCCGTCAACATTAGTGGATAAAGTTTGTATATTACAGAGAATAGAAAAAAAAGAGAGTAGCGTTCTCCGTATGTTACTGGGGCATGGAGACATGTTTATAAGAATAATCACGCAAGAAGGTTAGTATCAGAGATCTTTAATCTTTCTATTAGAATCGTAGAGAGGATAGTCTCGGTTTTCTTAGGAAAACTCTTGTACTAAATTCTGAATAAACCAATGATCACTAGGATTGAAGAATCGAAGCTCGAAGATATACCGAGGAGAAACAAGATAAATAATGTTGTGTTAAATTCCAATCCTAAATCTTTCATCAATTTGACTTAAAAGATCGGTCTCTTAAAATTTCAAACCATGGACTTGAATCGATTCAGGAAATCTTGTAATAGCAGGTCTTTTAATTTCTTGTTTACGGATATATTATACCAAACTTCAGTTAGGTTCCATGTCTTAGTCAAATGATCGAATTTCTCACTCAGAACCATATTTGGTGAAGATAGATTGGTTTTCACACTAAATGGGAGACAACAATTTTGGTTTTGGTTACTCAATATGCAGTCGCAAGAAATGTGTAGTAGAGACATTAGGGAAATTACTTCACCTGAAATGTGTTAGCTATAAGGGTTTAGTGCTTTTTTCTTGATGAGAATTTGTTTTAACGATAGAACAAGGTATCAAGCAAAGAAGCCTTGCGATGTTGTTACCATTTTAGAATAAACGCGATTATGTTACCATTTTTTCTTTTATTTGTGCTCTTGTCAAGAACCACTACGATGATTGGAGTGAGTTAAGATATCCGTGCATCTAAAGCTGTTTGAATAAAGGATACACAGTGACGGTGGTTTCTTGCGACTGAAACGGTAGAGCGTTAATCCCTTTAGATTCGTTTGTATTCATCTGTATCAAGTCTAGTTACGATAACATATTGCTTATTAACCGATCAATCTGTTGCTGTCCTGCCCTGCTTACTATATAGTAGACAGTTTCTGCGGATACTTAGGCATGTCATAACTATTATTAGAGGACTTACAATGAGTTATAAGGTGTCTTAGTGTGTTTACTCTCAAAGATATACTTGTTACTGTGTATATGCTCGATGAATCCTGATGAGAATTTGGTTACATTTTTACAAACACTAGGTTTCAGCTATGTCTTCTGATTAGAATCCTCTAATATATAGTTTTCAACAGTGCAAGGTTTTGTGTGTCTCTCTTGAAAATTTAGTATCTGAAGTGTTAAAAAGCTATATATGACATGTTTGCAGGGTTCAAGCATTAGTGTAATGAGCTGGAGAATCCAATAAGCAACGATAGGACTGAGTCAACGATTCAAGACAATCCTCTCCTTTGTCTTGAGTCAACGATTCAAGACAATTCTTCAATTTGGTCCGATAACTGTAGATAAGTTGTAATAATATCGTTCTCTTTTATGTGGCTCATCTAATTTAATATTCTGACATATAAAATATCTTTTACTTTATCAATCATTAAGTATAAGATATATTATTGTAGAGAACCCTCAGCCAAGAGATTGGTAGCTAGATAGATAAGGTTGACTTGGAGCCAACTTTTAGTTTAGAGTTTTTACTAAATTGATCGGTTTCTTCATTTGTACTAAATGATTTTAGATCAATTTTTTCTCAGAATCTGTACCCTTGGCGTTCTTGTACTGGTTTATCGTAGGTGATTGTCGACGAGTACTTATGGCTGAAGGATTTGTGTCGTTTGGAGTTCAGAAGCTTTGGGATCTCCTGAGTAGAGAATCTGAGCGATTGCAGGGAATTGATGACCAAGTTGATGGACTAAAGCGTCAGTTGACAAGGTTACAGTCGTTGTTAAAAGATGCAGATGCCAAGAAACATGGAAGTGAAAGGCTGAGAAACTTCTTAGAAGATGTCAAAGACATTGTTTATGACGCTGACGATATAATCGAATCCTTTCTTCTGAAAAAGCTTAGAGGAAAGGAAAAAGGGATCAAGAAGCATGTGAGAAGACTTGCTTGCTTCTTGATTGATCGCCACAAAGTTGCTTCAGATATCGAATGCATCACTAAGAGGATCTCTGAGGTGATTGGGGGAATGCAGAGTTTAGGTATACATCAGATCATTGATGGTACTCATTCGCTGTCTCTTCTAGACAGACAACGGGAGCAACGAGAAATCCGACATACGTTTGCTAACAGTTCTGAAAGCGATCTTGTCGGGGTGGAGCAGAGTGTTAAAGAATTGGTTGGTCATTTGGTGGAAAATGATAACATTCAACTGGTTTCTATATCTGGGATGGGAGGTATTGGTAAAACCACTCTGGCCAGACAAGTTTTTCATCATGACATTGTCCGACGTCATTTTGATGGATTCGCATGGGTCTGTGTTTCGCAACAATTTACACAGAAGCATGTTTGGCAGAGGATCTGGCAAGAACTTCGCCCACATGATGCAGAGATTTTACAGATGGACGAATATGCAGTCCAAGGTAAACTCTATAAATTATTGGAAACCGCTAGATATTTGGTTGTCCTCGATGATGTATGGAAAGAAGAAGACTGGGATCGAATAAAAGCCGTGTTTCCGCGGAAAAGAGGTGAGCTCTTATGGTACATACATGAAGCACTTTTTATTTTTATTTATACGTGATTGTTAAAAGAAATCTATAGAATAAATGCCTTTTATTTCCTAACATGAGAACACAAATATTTTGTAGGTTGGAAAATGCTACTTACTTCTCGGAATGAAGGTGTTGGGTTACATGCTGATCCAACATGTTTACCTTTTAGACCAAGAATCCTTAATCCCGAAGAAAGTTGGAAGCTCTGTGAGAGGATAGTATTCCTTAGAAGAGATGAAACTGGTGCACTTTTATATTTAAAATTAAAACCAAGAATCTGATAAATTTATTTTTAGCACACATCTTGAAATGTATGAGCTTGTGATATTGTGCAGAATTAAGGCTTAATGAAGAAATGGAAGCTATGGGAAGGGAAATGGTCACATATTGTGGAGGACTACCATTAGCTGTTAAAGTGTTGGGAGGCTTGTTATCTAATAAACATACAGATCGTGAGTGGAAAAGAGTTTATGACAATACTGGAGCTCAGATCGTTGGAAAATCTTGCTTAGATGACAACAGTCTCAATTCGGTTTACCGAGTATTGTCTCTGAGCTATGAAGATTTGCCAACGCGTTTAAAGCATTGTTTCCTTTACCTAGCCCATTTCCCCGAAGATTACAAGATACATACACGGACATTGTTCAATTACTGGGCTGCAGAAGGAATTTACGATGGATCAACCATCCGAGATAGTGGAGAAGACTACCTAGAAGAGCTAGTGAGGAGAAATTTGGTTATTGCTGACAAAAACTATTTGAGGTCGAGATTTGAATTTTTTCAAATGCATGACATGATGAGAGAAGTATGTTTATCTAAAGCCAAAGAAGAGAACTTCTTACAAATTATCAAAGTCCCTACTTCCACTTCTACCATCAATGCTCAATCTCCTAGTAGATCTCGCAGACTCACCGTACATAGTGGTAATACTCTTCATATACTGGGACACAAAAACAATAAAAAAGTCAGATCTCTTTTACTTGTGGGACTCGAGAAAGATTGGAAACAGTCAGCTCCAGGCTTCAAAAGTTTCCCATTGCTTAGGGTGTTGGATCTTTCTTGGGTAAAGTTTGAAGGAGGGAAGTTACCTTCTAGCATTGGAGGGCTCATTCACTTGAGATTTTTGTGTTTATACGAGGCTGTGGTATCTCATCTACCTTCTACTATCCGGAATTTAAAGCTTCTACTCTATTTGAACTTAGAGTTCGCTGACGGGGTAACGGTTCATGTGCCAAATGTTTTGAAAGAGATGATAGAGTTGAGGTACCTTTCCCTACCTTTGTTTATGCATGATAAAACCAAGTTGGAATTGGGTGATCTAGTGAACCTGGAGCACTTGTGGTATTTCTCAACGCAACACAGTAGTGTGACAGACCTCCTCCGTATGACTAAGCTCAGGTCTCTCGCTGTATCCTTGAGTGAAAGGTGTACTCTAGAAACTCTATCGTCATCTCTCCGTGAATTGCGAAACCTCGAGATGCTTGAGTTCTTAGTTTCGCGTATAACCAATATGGTTGATTATGTGGGAGAGTTTGTTCTGGATTTTATTAATCTAAAGGAGTTGGGATTGAGAGTACATATGTCAAAGGTTCCTGATCAACATCGATTCCCTCCCCACCTTGCACATATATATCTATTTAATTGCCGCATGGAGGAGGATCCAATGCCAAGTCTAGAAAAGTTGCTTCATTTGAAGTCGGTTAAATTAACATATGCATTTGTTGGGAGGAGAATGGTGTGCTCAAAAGGCGGATTTCCTCAATTATGTGCTCTAGAAATATCTGAAGAATCAGAGTTGGAAGAGTGGATAGTAGAAAAAGGGTCGATGCCATGTCTTCGTACTTTGACTATACATAATTGCAAAAAGTTGAAGGAACTTCCTGATGGACTCAAATACATAACATCCTTAAAGGAACTGAAGATTGAAGGAATGAAGAGGGAGTGGAAGGAGAAATTGGTTGGAGAAGATTACTACAGAGTCCAACACATTCCCAATGTTCAATTTATCAACTGTGACGACGAATAAGGAGAATAACGAGTAGCAGGTAAAACTAAATGTTATAATGTTCATTTTGTTCATTTGTTGGTTTCGCATCATGTTTGGATTCGTGAGAAAGTCATGTGGACAGTCTCAACTATTATACATTGTTCTAAAATCGATCATCTCTGAAATAGATGCAGGAAAGAACAAGAAGCTATTCAGATGCTCTTATATTGGGAGAGATAGAGGCTGCCTCACAAGAGTCATCTGCTGATCAACAGGTTTTCGCGAAGATTTCTGGAATTGCTTATGAAGAATACATATTCTGAAGTACTACCGATTACGTTGCTAATCTTGGAGCTCTCGCTTTCAGTGCATCTTATGATGTGGCTCAGAATATCAAGAACTATATCATTGAAATAATGCTTGTATTGATGTTTGTTTTCGATATGGATGCATGGAACATGCTTGAGAACTCTTTCACAAATGCAGAAACAAACCTTGGATATTTTTGTAGATCATTGTAAAAATTGGATATTTTTTGTTGAACACAGTTAAAAGATTTGTGTTTTGTACCTCAAATCTTGTCAGATTCTTTAAAACAGTTATAGACATGGTTGAACCAAGACGAGCAAAACTGATGTACAATAAACAGAATAATCTCATTCCCAAAACTTCTGGCAAAACAATATATTTTCTCAGGGGAACATAACACACAGACAAGTCGAAACTTTACGGGTTTGTAGCAAGTTTGTTGAAGGCGGCGTGAACTCTCTCCTCTGTGAACAGTCTATGGTTTTCATAGAAATCCAATATCTCCATTGCAATATTCTTCACCTGCCAATATGATCAGGACATACCGATGAATCATTAAACAAGACCATGCCTTCTAGTAACAAGAGAGCTAATAATTTCTCAGAGAATTAAAAGGACGATAACAATCCATACGACTTACAATGTTCATGTCGACAGAAAGCTCTTCAAACCATGTCCTTATGTCTTTCTCTTTGTGTACAGAAGCAATGTAAATGCAAGCGAGTGTGATGAGAAACGGCGGATGTATAAGGATGAGGTCCATTCTGTATGTGTCGTTGACAAGACCCCTATAGTTTCCACACAAAACTTAAAGCATCAAGAGAGCATTTACTTTCATTCACAAGCTCAATAAAGGACAAAAGTTTGAGATACTTTACCAAGTTAAATGAGTCATACTTGTGTCATTGATTCCAGAATCCTGCAAGAACCTGCAAGTAAAGCAAGAAGAGTAATTAAAAGATATATGGAGCAAAAAGATTTCGATATCAACACATAAGATCTTAAGCAAACGACTTACTCAGGCAGAGATCGGTATGGGTGGAATACAACAAGATAGAAGTTCAATGCTTCCAAGACCTTCATCTCCATTTCCAGAATATCTTTAATCTCATATCTAAACTTTTCATCAGCATCTACAGAGAGTGAAAGCATCCAATCTCATCAGAAACTCAGACAAAGAACTCGAGCAATTTCTCCAATCAAGGAAGTTTTGAAGCAGAAAACAAAAAAAAAGAATTACAAAGTTTTTTCATGTAGAAGACAAGAAGTTTGGCATGCACCACACTCTCTTCTGCTTTGCAAGCCAAATACAAGCAGGTAGGAGCAACAAGCCGAGGCTCGTATTCCGTCAAACTCTTTCTGTCAAAACACACAACAGTACCCATAAATCAAAAGACCGATCCTCTTCCTACACAATGATGATCAAACAATCAGAAGCTAGAACAAGCCATACCTTGTGTAAACACGACGCATATACGTTACTGCAGTTGCAATAACTCTGAATCATAAATGCTAAATCAGTCAGCATTGTTCAAACTTCAAAGGGTCGTTGCAAATTTCATATCTTTTTTAAGACTAACAACGAAAGAGTTCACCTTTGCCTAATCTTAATGTGTTGTGCCAGTTTCGATATATCTGAAACATGAACAACAAGGAAAATAAGCTTAAATCCAATCAAAACCTCAAGATAAGGACATGATTCATGACATTAGAGATGTTAAATCCAATCTGGTAATCAAATCCAATGAAAACTTACAATTAGACATGTGAAGCTTAATGAGTCTGAAATCTTCAACAGAGATTCCTCTCTGAGCATCAAGAGGATGGACAACATTAACCTCTTCTGGGTCCTTAAGCTCTTTGCTGTGAGAATAAAACCCAGAAAACGAAATCAATCAGGAACATAGAAATTGAATATAAAAAGACGATCTTTAATCGTTGATTGAAACTTACTAGTGCGTCGAAGTCCAGAAATTGGAAGCCATAGCTTCTTTCTTTGATCCTTCAACTTCAAAAATACAAGATTTTTATTTTTATGGTGTGGATAATGAGAGCATAAAAGAATACCAAGGAAAAATATTAAAAAAAGTAAAACTTTTTTAATTCATTATTTAAACTTTTTTACAGAAAAAAAAAAAACTATATGAAATTAAATAAGTCAATTTTATAAACTTTTTTCATCTTTTGTCATCTTCATCAATATGACCTTTATTGTTTTTTTCACATTTTTGCTTCTAGGAGAGGTTTAGATTTAGATTAGGGGAAACAAAACCCATTTTGAATTTTTGATGATCAATTAACAATAGTGTATTAGTGTTTACTTTAAGATTAATAGGTTTGGTAGAACTAACAACAATGTTACATGTTTGCCATAAAGCTAAGATGGGCAATTGTGAAAGTCTCTAATCTTTTTTTCTGTGAGATAAATCTTGGCGATGGAGGCGATTCCCTCGGCTGCTACGGTTTCAAAGCCAATTTGCTGAAGGCAGTATTCACTTTTTCCTCTGTGATTGTTCTGTAATTCTCATAGAAGTCCAGAATCTCCATGGCAATGTTCTTTACCTGCAAACCATTGACCCATGTAGAGCTTTCACCGTCACTAAGAATACCAAAAGGTCATAGCTTTTTGCTTAACTTTTAGAAGAATGACTGACCAAGTTCATGTCCTCATGAAGATCTTCAAACCAGGCAGTGATGTCTTTCTCTCTGTGGACACTTGCTATGTATATGCATGCTAATGCTATGCGATACGGAGGGTGTACAAGAATGAGGTCCATCTTATAAGTATCGTTAACAATTCCCCTGAAACACGAAAACAAAACTCGCTTTTTTATATGCTTTTTACAGAGGTCAGAGAATTTAGATCTTAGTGTTGAAACTAGGAAATGAGTTCTGAGCAAAATTTCTCTGTAGGACTTTACCATGTAATTTGGTTCATATTTACATCGTTTATTGCAGCATCTTGCAAAAACCTGAGAAAACAAAAGAAGGAAGTCTTGAAATGAGAGTTGATTTTCTGACTACAAGGATCAAGGCACACAAAACTCTCACCAAGGAATATAAAATTGGTCTAAAATTTTACAGGATATAATGAAAAACATCAAGAGCATTGAATGGGAAGACTGCAAGGTTTTACATGTATCATCATTTACACTTCTAATCATCTCCTCTGTTTGCAACCGCAGACAATAAGGCAAACACTTCTGAAAAGCGGATAAGAGAGATGAGTGGACATACTCAGATAATGACCGGTAAGGGTGAAACACAACCAGATAATAGTCTAGTGCTTCTAAGACCTTCATCTCCATTCCTAATATATCTTTTAGTTCATATTTGTTGTACTCATCAGGATCTGCAAAGATATAAGAACCGTGTCAAAAAACGTATATCGAAAGGGAGGTTCTCTTATGATTTAGCACATTGAAAAATCAAAACACAGTAGAAGAAGATATTACACAATCTTTTGATATAAAAAACAAGATTCCTGGCCTGCACAATGCTTTCTTCAGCTTTAGATGCCAGGTACAAGCACGTAAGAGCAACAAGGCGAGGCTCAAACTCTACCATACTCTTTCTGAGACAGTATAATATCGAAAGGAAGATATTAGACGCTAAAACTGAAAACTTTCGTTAAGCAGTTTATGGTTTTTGATAGCAGAGATGCAACATATAGAGACATTGGCATGAAAAGAATTTAACTCATTTCATTCCTCACAAACACAAAGATGCACTTTGATGTAGAAAATCATATCAAAATTACATTCCAGACCTGATATAAACCCGTCTCATATACGTAATCGCGGTAGCCACAACCCTACATAAGTAAAAAACCAAGGCAACGATTCATATAAAGCTCCAGGTTACTACAGATATAGTCATATAGAGCTAGTTAAATCCACAAGCAAAACAAAGTAATGGAACAACTGCAACAGTAGAATCTCTGATATAGCAAAAATTGGATTCCCCAAATTGCAAAAAACCAACCTTTGCCTCACTTTAATGTGTTGAGCCAATTTCATAATATCTGAAACAACAATAAAGGCAAAAAAAAAAACAAAGAGACTTAAACCCAACAGCAAAACAAACACTTTCTGTGATCAATCTTTAAGACAAAGACAACAAATTTGCTAAATTAAGCTGAAAAAATTCGAAGAATTGAGAAGAAAAAGCTTTCGTACGAGTAGACATATGGAACTTGATGAGCTTAAAATCCTCAATTGAGATTCCACGTTCTTTATCAAGATCATGAACTACTTCGACTTCTTCTGGATCCAAAAGCTGTTTACTGCTTCGTACAAACGCAATAACCAAACAAAAAATCGAGAAATTGAAGTTAGAAGTTGCGTAGAAGGAGAAGAAGAAGTGAATTTTGATGGGTTAAAGGTGAAAAGAATATTTACTAGTGAGACGAATTCCAGAAATTGGCAGCCATTTTTTCCGGTAGACCGTCGAGTTTTTGGTAAGGAGGAGGAGAAGAAGCTTTTTGGTCTCATAATAAGTTCAACATTTTTCTGTTATCTGTCAAATCTTTTGGTTGGTGGTCTCATGATCTATCACATCTCGTTACTTTTATCTGAAATTAAGTTTAAGGCTCGGCCCATTATCGGCCCAATAGGCATAGCCCTCATGTTTTACTTCTTGTTAGTTGCAACAAATTAAATGAACAGTATAAACCTTTCAAGGTTGCTCACCGGAAAATAATTTTTGTAGCTCTGATATAACATGTTCGTTGTTTTTTGAATAACAGAACATAGATAAAATTTGAATTCGTTGATAAATTCAAGCAAGAAGAAAAACTTCAAAGCTCCAAGTGTTATTGTAACATTCCGATTTCAATATGGTAGTGCATGAGGAGGTTTGAGAATTGATTTGGTTACATATATCACCACTGTACACTTATCTTTTCGGTCAAATATTTTGAGAGAATTTCATAGTTAAGCGTGCTTATGCTGAAGCAATTTCATGATGAGAGACCTTCCGGAAAGTAATTATCGGAACCGTGTAAGAAAAGACAAAACACGAAAAAGATCATGTGGTGATTTGTAGATAGGTAAACAAGTCGTTAAAGTCTCTCGGACATAACATACTAGCCATCAGATAAGAGTGGGCTTACGGGCTAAAAGAGAACGTGGGATCCACTAAAAAAGATGGCGGTCAAAACGTTACAATTATTCATAAATCCCATAAATAGCTAAGAAGTGACCGAATATATCATTTCGACGGAGTACAAACAGTTTCAAAGGATTAAATTTGAGTTTCGTTTTCTCGAATGATTAAAGCTATAAAAATTCTAGCTTTATACCATCATCCATCCTATTAAAGATTTATTCTTCCAACGCTTGATCAGTGATTTCTTCTGACCATAAGTTTGGATGTCCATAAAAGAATTTTCAGAAGAGCACCACACATTTTTCCTTTTCCTAATACACATATTCATTTGTTTTAGTGAGATCAATCCACCAAATAAAAGAAAATTCGTGAACTTTTACAAAACATTTCCCTTAATTTATCTAAGTGGTCAAGACTCATTGGATTGGAGAAAACAAAATTCAATTTTTTTTTGCAAGTACAAGGTTAACATAATCGTCCTGCATCACAGACAAACCCAACTAATCCTAGGATGAGTTGGCTCAACGAAAATGTAACCCAATAGATTAAATCCTAGACCGGAAAACCAAATCTTGCCTACCAAAACTTTGTTTATAGTGAGAACTAAACTTAGAGACAGAATAATCCATACTTCTTTATCAATTTTTTTTCCGAACATACTAAATTCATATTAATACTCGAGAACTGACCATACATGTTTCTCTCGTTCAATATTTGGTACAAGCCAAATAAGTTGACTACAATCTAAAAACACATGAAAAACAACGCATGAGGAAGGAACAAGCCAAATAGGTTGACTACAATCTAAAAACGCATGAAAAAACGCATGAAGAAAGTGTATCGTTTATTTTGTGTCTAAGTACATACTAAATTCATATTAATACTCGAGAACTGACAAACATGTTTCTCGCGTTTAATATTTGGTACAAGCCAAATAAGTTGACTACAATCTAAAAAAGCACGAAAAAAACGCATGAGGAAAGAACAAGCCAAATAGGTTGACTACAATCTAAAAACGTATGGAAAAAAAAACGCATGAAGGAGTATCGATTATCCCGTGTCTAAGTTTAATTCTCAGTTTCTCATTATCAAAACAATTTAAGAGGAGTAATTATTATTCTCCAATTATAGAATGTAAATTCTTTGGGATATGTGCTAACACAAATAAACCCAAATTAAAATCTAATTTACTCATTAATAAAAAGGTTAGTGGAGAATAAATCTCTCGAAGAAAGAAAGGTAAGGAAGTGCAACGGACCATGTTTGACACGTGAGGGTCAAAAAGGTAATAAAAAAGTCATCAACACACACACTCTCTCTCCGTCTATATAAAGCAGCTCTTCTTCACAGTCCCCACAAAGTCCTCTTCCGTTGCCTTTTCGCTTTCTCCGTACACTTGGCCTTCCTTCTCGCGATCAAACCCTAGGTCCCGCCATTGTTGGTCCCAGACTTAAATCGAAGCTCCAATTTCACTAATTTAAGGTGAATCTTCTTCTACAATTTCGTTTTCGTTTTGTTTAATGTCACGATTTCGTCTAAAACAAAGTGTTCTACAGTGTTTCGGAGTGTGTAGAAGCGAAATGTGAAGTAGATTTTGTTGTTGTCTCTTAGTTCGTTTTGTTGCGAATGTGTTTTCGAGGCTTTCTCTGTGTGTGTTCATGAGGTTTCGTCTACCGAAATGATCGGGATTTTGGAAATTAGTGTCTGTGATTTGGAGATTTTTTTCTGTTTTAACACTTCAAGGATTTTTTTTCTATGGGGTTTTCTGTGGTTAGATTGATTCTGACAGTTTTGTGTTTATGAATCACAGGTGTTGCTTTTTTTCTCTGGAGCTTGGTGATAGATAATATGGCTTCTGTTGCTGAACCTAGCCCTGTTGACCCACTTACTGTATGTTTCAATGATGGGGTTTCTTCTCCTTTTTCACAAGTTTTCATTGTGATTCTTTGTGTGGTTTGTTCTATTTTGTTGTGGTTAAAGTGTAATTTTGGGTTTGGTAAATTATAGGTTGGGAATGCGTTTGTCAGTCAGTATTACCACGTTTTGTATAACATGCCTGAGCATCTGCCCCGGTTCTATCACGAGATCAGTGAAGTTGGGCGTGTTGGACAAGACGGAGTCATGCGAAATTTCTCTACCTTGAAGGTAAGTATTGTCAGTGGTTTAGCTGACTTTGGTTGAATGAGAGTATTCCTTTTCTATGATGTGAAGGATTATTAGTCTATTTACTTACTTGAGTAAATAACATGGGGTTGAGCTGGAGTGTCAATTGGTTTGATTGAAATTGGATGTCAGTTTTTAAGTAACTTGCTAAAAGTGTGTCTCATTGATGCTTATTCTTTGTGCAGGATATAACTGAGGAGCTTAAGACACTGACTTATGGAGATCACGAATCGGCTGAGATAACCAGTTATGATACCCAAGCGTCTCACAATGGGGGTTTCCTCGTCGCTGTTACTGGATACTTCACTCTAAATGAGAGGTCGAGGAGGAAATTCACCCAAACTTTTTTCCTTGCTCCGCAAGAAATTGGGTTTTTTGTTCTGAATGACATCCTCAGATTTGCCAATGATAATGCTAAGGATACTGTTCCAGAGACCATAGAAGGGGAAGTTGTTTCTGGGATAAACTCTACAAGACCCAGTGATATTAATGGTAAGTTAAACGTATACTCATTCTCCATCACTTTGTTTTTTAGTTTCTTCTAACGCACAGTATATTCCTATATCCTTAGCTACAGGCAATAAGGGCTCGGAGCAAGCTGCATGTGTTTCGGTGAATCCTGTTTCTAAGGAAGTGTCTAAACCCTTGAATGATGAGAATGCTAAGGATAATGTTCTGGTACCTGAGATTGTCAATGAAGTTGCAGGGATTGAGATAACTCGCAAAGAAGTTGCAGATGATTCATCGAAAAATTATGACCCTGATGATGGACTTGAAGATGTTCCCAAGAAATCCTATGCATCTGTGGTAATTAGTCACCCAAGAGGATTCATACTCGATCTTGTTACATCTTATTTTAGCCTTTACTATATCACTTCTGGGGTTTTCTATTGATAATTAATCACTTTCATAACAGTTGAAGGTTACGAAAGATAAATCTGGAGTTCCAGCTGGCTCTTTACCTTCTCCAAAGAAGATACCTAAAGACCAAGAACATCAAGCTCCTTCAGATCCTTCTACAGGCCAGATACTCAAAGACCAAGGTCAACAAGCATCTTCAGATCCTTCTCAAGTGATAGAATCTGATAAAGTTTCTGAGTCTGTTGATGCTGCTGAAAATGGACACAATCAGGAAGGTAGTAGTTCACAGTATGGCTGATCCTCAGGTTTTCAATTATAATATTTGGTGGTCTATATTCTCTTATCTATTCATGACATGGGTTCATCCTTCTATTGTCTTTTTTCTTAGCGGTAGCTGAGGGTACATCTATTTATGTGAAACATCTTCCTTTTAATGCCAACATTAACATGCTTGAGGCTGAATTTAAGCAATTTGGAGCTATTACCAATGGTGGGATTCAAGTCATAAACCAAAGGGTAAGATTGACCAATCACCTAACACTTTAAGTATTGCATATATTATCGTTCTGAACAATGATAGTTTACTATATGACTGGCAGGGCCTTGGTTATCCTTATGGTTTTGTTGAGTTTGAGGAGGCAGATGCTGCCCACAAAGCAATAGAGGTACGTATTTTAACCTAGAAAACCAATATCAGCTTTAGGTGTCTTGCGCATATGAGTCTTAACGTTTAAATCGGGTATTGAAATCATCTAAACGATGTAGGCTTCACCTGTGATGATTGGTGGACAGAGAGCTTTTGTGGAGGAGAAGCTATCGACATCAAGAGGTGAGTTGGTCTAAGTAACAAAACTTTGATATGGTAATGTGAAGAAAGAGGAGGATGATTGTTTGTTTGCTTGAGTAACAGGTAACAGAGGAAATGGAAATGGTGGATACGGGAATAGAAATGTTGGAGTGGGAATGAGAGGAAGAGGAGGTTATGGATATGGCTACGATTACAGGAGGGGAGGTAGAGGTCCTGGAGGAGGAGGAGGAAGGTCTTTTAACCGTAGAGGCAATGAATATGTCGCCAGCATCAACTCGTACTAGAGCGGGGATTGGGTTCTTTTGTGGCGGATAATTGATTTTTGGAATGGTGGAAAGAAGATGGTAGCAAGAAAGACAGACTTGGTAGATATATCTCTCTCGGTTATTCATATATTAGTAAAAGGTAAAAGAAAAAAAAAATGATTTGTGGTGATATTAAGACTTATGATTTGTAAGACGTTTCTAAGTGATATTATGTGGAGGTTATTAAATTTATGCAAATGCTTTTGTTTCTTTGCTTTTTGTTTTTTATTTTGCCGATTATGAACGTGTGGTATTAAAGCGTTTTGGAACATGAAATAGTTCTACGGACTGATCCTTCTTTGACCGGGACAAAAACACTTAATATTCTTTTATACGCTCTTGTCATACTTTTTTATTCGAGACTTCTCTGTTTGGTCAACTACACGTTTCTTTATAAGCTCATGAGAAAAAAAAAACTTTAGTACCTCTTATTCTTTTGAGCTTAGAGGATTGGTGAAATGGCAAGATTCGCTGAACCTAAATGATTGAGTGACTCTAGTCAAACACATAGTATGATACCTTTAAGACTCAGGGTTGGTAAAGTTGAGTTTCAGGATGGACCATGGACTACTTTTTTAACTCATGATTGAGAAAAATAAGAGAAAGTGCATTGACTAGTTGACATGAGCTGGAAAAACTGAGCTATTTCATAAGTTGACTGAGGTAGTGTTTGGCTCGATGGTGGTTTAGGCTTCTTGGGAAAGTTAAGTAACCACTAAACTGTTAATGTACTCATACCATTGGATCAGATGGAACAGATATATGATTCAACGAATGCGGACATATAATTATGGGAGTGGTTTGTTTAGATGGCAGATTTCGATGACGACGGTTCCTATATGAAAGGTTTCTTAGACGAATTTTGGCGATTCATGTGAACCAAAGAAAACATGATCGGAGGAAGAAGCCTCTGGAAATCTAAATGGAACGTGTCTTGGTTTAAACAAACGGCTGGAGTTTTGAAGGGTGTCACAGATAGGGAGTGGTTTGGAGATCGGTTTGAACCACCAAGACTTAACCGAATCCTCAATGATCAGACCCACACGGGCTGGTCAACTCTGGTGGATGTTAATGACATGTTTAGACTGGTAATTTTGAGTCGTTACCAAATCATAGTCGTTAAGGCCAACAATCTCAGAGGCACATAGGAACAACAAGGTGCAATTCTATCTTCCTGATATTTGACATTTCAACGGCTCGCCAGTTAGTAAAAAAGACGAACTAAGCTAATGTTCAACAGTACAATGCAATACCAATCAAACCCCATGACTAGAGGATACTCATATATTCAAGACTCAAGAGGTTGGTGCTCTTGGAATGTTTGTTATCAATGGTTTTCTGGGAATTGCACCTACCACTAGAAAAAATCTTAATCACACAACAGTTAATAAAACTGTGGACCAAAATTTCAAAAGGATCAAAAACTATAATCTATACACCATACAATATACCTCACAAAGAAGGAAACTAAACAACCACCAGATCACCAGCTTGGCCTATAAAATCCAGTTCTCACTTCTCAGTATCACCACCAAGCAAGAGGAGAAATCAAACTAGACTACCATATATAAATCACAATGAAGAAGAATAACACTAAAGCCAAGCTCCTTCTGGCACTAATTCTGATGGCACTTCTACTTTCAGGCGCTGAAGGAGGGAGGTATGTACCTGAGGAGCAAAGTGAGGTCATTGCCAATAACCAGTTACTCTGGGGTTGGTTTCGTCTTCCACACTATGGCTGGCCCTCTCATAAAGGAAGGTTTGGTCATTTTCCTCTCAAAGCTGGCCTCAACAAACAGAACCCCGTACACGGATCTCCGACTACAGGTGATAACAATGTTGCTGCATCCACTGTGTTTCCATAACTAGGTGACGATGCTTACTAGCACAAGGTGACCTTAAGGTGTGAATATTAAGGCAGAGCAATAAAGCATCGATTGATAGCTTCTGTAATCTATCTTTTGCTACCGTTGTACTCTAATCCCAGTGCATGGAGAGTTCTAATAAATTTCTCTTAAAATTCCTACTTTTTGCTCATACTGAGATACACAAATACTTAACGCATATTTCAGCAATGTGAGATGAGAACTGGCATACACGATCAAGATGTAGAATTTTAGTATAGATCCAATATATATTTTTTTCCATATATCTTTTCATCTATCAAGAGAGAAGAGTATCAACTGAGAGGTTTGCAGAGACCTAAATTACATAGAACAACAACTAAAAAACAAAGAGTTATTACCAATGATATTCATCAAATGATAGGGCCTTCTGGCTTCTTGATGAGTGAATATTTCTCTTCCACCAAAGCAAAATATTCAAAAATACGAAGTCAATGAAGTCCCTTCAATGTTCCAAAGTGAATAGGAGGATAGTCTGACAAACCATTAGACCTGTGAGAGTAAAAACCATATTCCCGTTTACTTAATTAATGATATAATTCAAATCTAGTAATAAATACAAACGTAGATGATAAACAAATCATTGTTTGACCTACAGGGTGGCTAGTGCTGTTGCCGGACCACTCATCTAGTGGCTGGAAGGAATACTCGAATCAGCTCTTTCGCAGTAACCTTTTTCCTACAAGTAGGGCATTTGCCCTGGCGAGATATTGCCATCTTTATACATCCCTTGCAGAAGATGTGACCGCACTTGGTTGACATCTCCTCCGTAAAGGGACACATGCAGATTGGGCATGTAAACTTTGGCTCTTCTGGTGGAGGAGCTGGAGCCTTTGATCTAGACACTCTCTGCACAAGATGAAAGAAATTCGTGAGTTCAGACTAAATAGCATAACTGCACAGTATGCTTTCAGAAATCCGCATCTCTCTTACCGAAGAAATGTTGACTTCATCATTTATTGAGACATGCTCACAGTCGATGACAGGTTCGCTAGAAGGAACCCTTCTGCGTTTGTTGCTTATGTTGGCAGGCAATCTAGTCGTACCTCCTGCAATTACCCGTCCAAGTAAGAGAAATTTAGTAAACTATGAACAAAAGTTCTAAAGCAGCTAACTCTCAAACATCACAATAAAAAACAAACACAAAGTGAAATCCAACAATCAAACTCTCTGTCTCTCCCTACTGCTTATGACATGATACTGAACCAGAAGAGTAAAATTTCTTTTCATATCCCTTCACAATAGATAAAAACTGACCTGACTCTACATCAACCATCAAAGGTCTCCGACGTGCATTTCTCGATTTGCTTTTAGCCTGGTATCAAAAAACAAAATTAGTGAACCTACTACACAACAAATCCCCTCCATCACTACAAAAAATGAGAAACTAAAAGATAACAGGAAGCAAACATACTTCAGCAAAAGCACTTGCGGATGATTCAATAACATCATCTTCAATAGCATCAACATCAATCATTGTAGGAGCAGGCTGAGACGGTGTAGTAGACACCGTAGGAGATCTTACAGAAGCAGAGGTCCCTTCTTGATCTCCAGGTACTGCATTCAGATCAATCACAGCTTTCCTCCGTCGATTTCCTCGAGGTACTCTCACCTCTTGTGAGTTCATCTTTCAGCTCAAAGTAACAACCTTTATACCTGTAATTTCAGCCAAAAAAACAAAAGTTATTTTACTCCTCAAAGTCATATATACAAATTCAAAATTCAAACTTTCGACAATACTCAATTTTAGCAAAAAAAAGGAAAAGAATCAATCTCCCAGAAATTCATCGACTTTACGAAATAAAACAAAATTGAAAGTAACGAGACGAACAAATAACTAATCCGATCCTAAAAATTGAGAATGATCGTTCGTAATCAAACAAACAAGAGAATTGAATTAGATTAGGTTTTTGAAAGAGAAGAACCTCTTCGATCAATTCGATTCGACGTTCGAGGTAATCACCGTGAGCTGAATTTCAATCGGAGAAAATCGCCGGAGAGAATTTTGAGAGCCAATCGATTTTGTGAAATCTAGGGTTTTTGAATCTTTTGTTGTAAGAGAGAGAGAAAAACGCGGAGGTGGTGAGAAACGGTGAGAGATTTTTGAGTTTGTAATAAAAAGCCACGCGGTCGGTGCGATTGTGACACGTGTCGAAATCGTAGTTCCACAATACGAAACGGTTTTGTGTAGTTTCGTCGTGGTTTACAGTGTTGTTTCCTAGGGAAAGCAAACCATTTGAGATGTTTAAAAAGCCCATTGGGTTTACGTTAACAATGACGATAACAATTTATATAACTTTGTTCAGCCCATTTGTTTGGATTTTAAACACACGTACATATAAATAAATAAATAAAATAAAAAAATAGTAAATATTGTTCAAAGATTCTACAACTTTTAAATTTTTTGTAAATCTATCCACCACAGTAAAAATATGCAAAAGAATCTTTTAAGTATTGTGCATATTGCAATATAGTCCTCGTCTTTTGAATGTTTATGTGCGATACATCAACAGGTAGATCGAGAACCTGAAGTTCAAGAAGTAATATAGTTATAAGACAATGTAATTGTGGTGAAAAATTTGGAACCAAAAATAGATTTATAAAATCTATTCACGATATTAAATATGTAAAAGAAACTTTCAAAGAACTCTGCATATGGTAATATAGTCCTCGTCTTTCAAATGCTTATGTTCCACCATGAAAGATTGTTTTATATATAGAGCCGGTTCTATAACTTTTAGGGCCACAAGCCCATTTATTTTTTGGGCTTATTATTAAAAACAAAATTTGTTGATATTTTTGGAAACAAATTAAAAAGGTTGAAAATAGAAGATTTGAGATTCTAACCCGTGACAGTAAGAGTTTTATTGCCTTGTTTTTACCACTAGGACCAAAAAAGTTTTTGAGCAAAAAAACCGAATAACAACTATATATTTTGAAGGCCACAAGCAGATGCTTCACATGCTTGTGGCCAGGGCCGACAATTATAGAAATACATAAACTGGTAAGAGAGGAGCTGAAATTCAAGAAGCAATGGAGTTACGAGACAATGTTACTGTGGTGAAAAATTTCATATCGAAAATAACACTTTTCTTTATCATTTTCATAAATTTTTTTTTTCGCCATTAAATTATACACTAACAAACTTATACATCAATTATCTTTTTCATAATCAAATATCGGGTCTTCAGATCTATGGCTTGACCACATCATGACTCTAAATTTTGGTTGCTAGAATCTAGGTGATATGATATATCCATCGTGTTAATGATTCTGACATACATTATATGGTATGCGCTCGAACTACGTTTGGCGAAGGTGAAAGTTGCAACTTCTATGTGAAGGCAATAATTGCATATCATGATGACATTTTCTCACATCTAATTCAACCTATTTTGCGCCTTCCATCCTTTTGCGTACCCGTGATCTCTTTTTCTAACGATTTATCACTTACAGAAATTTATGATCTTTTCTGTACTTCAACATTGTATTAACCAACGATTATGTTAGTGCTATTTTCCTCCTTTTGCTTATTTTAGATGAATGTACGACCTATTATAATTATTGATTTGACGACATCTTATTGTAGTTAAAATATTTATGAGATAGATAAATCATTATACAAAAATTATATTAACAAATTAAAAACAAACTCAAACCTAAGTATTACTAACCCCTTAAAAAAGTGCTTTTTGGATTGCTCATGGCTATGCATAGTATGACTATCCTTAGGGATGTTGTCATGGGTAAATGAGCCCAGCCCAACCCATCCATTCCATTGCCCATTGAATGGTTTACGGACCGAACATGATCAAGGTAGTGGCGTTGGATGGATCTTGTTGGTGAAATACGAAATAATCTCATTAGATTTAATAGGGTCAAAAATATGTTTATCATCCCTTGATACTGAACTAGAAACACTTTAATGAGCAATGCAATGTTTAGTTGAAAAAGTTTTGATTTTGATATTAATGGACTGAGATTGTTCAGACTTATGCCGAATGATTGGCTATCAAGCGGATTGGCCTGATTTATAATTGGAATTTTTTCCCAAATTTATAGAGATCTTTCTAGTTTAACATTATGTTTAATTTTTCATTGTAATAATATTGTATGGACTGATTTCCTTGCCAAAGGAACAAAAACACGAACTTTCCATTTGTCTAGAGCGGCCCCATTTTGAGGTGAGCATCTTACCATTGTAATCTAATATAATCTTCAAATATATTAATTATTGACATTTTTGTTGTTCAAACTCGATCGTAACAATAATAAATGTACCAAGTAGATCACTAAAATGGGTGTTGCATTATCACTTACAGAAGTTTAACAAGTTAATATGTATAGATTTTGGGGCCCCCAAATAGTAAAAAAATAAACTATATATAGATCATGAGGTTCCTAAACCGTAATTGTTTGTGGCTCCATAAATCTCAAGGCCGGCCCTGGATGGAAAAAGTTTATATGAAAATTTGTAAAAGCGGCCCATTTATTTATATTTTGTTGCGGCCTTCTAAAACTCGGGGTTTTAATCGTAATTATCTTTGACCTAATATCATTAGTATCCTCCATATATATACATATAACTGTTTGTGTAAGAAATCATACAAATTAGATTTGTATCATAGCTTTCGAAAACCTAAAATACCTACATAAAATTCCTTTTGAAAACCCTCATCTCTTTTTTTCCTCTTCTCTAGCCGCCAACTTTTCTTTTGTCTTCTCCGATGGCTCCCTATCAGCGAAACAATCACCACTACCTTATTACGGTATATCTCTAAGAGGTATCCATATCATGTGATGAACTGGTAGTGATGGGATCTTCCATTATTATCACAAATTTTGCTGTGTCATTTGCAGATCTAGAATTGGGATGCTCTGGTGATTGTCAAATCTGAAGAGGTTTGGGGCCTACGTTTTCTCTTAGATAGTAGACATAACTATTGAACCAAAATTTAGAGAAGATCTTATTTATGATATCTTATATATGATTCAAGAAGTTGATCCCTTTTCCCTTGGTTTTCTTTTTTTCATGAGGATTGGGAGGCCTAGAAGATACAAGCGGTGATTTCGAGGCGGTGAAAGAGACCAAAAATTAAAGAAAGGGTTCTCTTTTCTTTCGTTGGGTGAGAGAAAATAATATGCTGAAATCAAGGTAGAGAGATTGTGTTGTTGGATATAGTTTTGGATGATGTTATGGGTTGACAACATCTAACAGAATGTTTTTTTGCTGAGATCAAGGTATCTCTATATGTTTGGAGATTTTGGACAACACACTATTTTGTAGAAAAGATCGGATGGAAAGAAACGACGAGATGCACACTACCAAGGAGTTTCACCTACTTATTTGATGACTCTGCATCTTTGATGTTTGCTTTATATGAGCTATGGATTCTTGAATGAATAGACTCTTCACTAGTAAGTATTTATGATTAAGCAATTAAAAAATCAATTGATATATGATCTTTTGTGTTGGTTGAAATGCTTTTGATGATGCTTAAGAACTTTAATTTTTCTTTTTGATATCAAAAAGAAAATACTTTAATTGAAAATAAAATATTTTCCTTCTATTGATATGTTATTTTATCTAGAAATTGCAATTGAAAGTTATTGATATTATTGGTAAACATTAGTAGTCTTTCAATTGTATTCTTTTGCATGTTTGCTGATATAAAAGTTTTTCATGTCTTCTCATATTCAGAGTTTGACACATTGTAGATCAATATATATTGCATAGCTAGATATATATGTATTCAATTAATAGAGACACTGATTTGTTAAGGCTATAAGGAGTCAGTCGCTATGACTCATTGAATATATATATATATATATATATATATATATATATATATATATATATATATATATATTTTTATATGCTGAATTATTAATTACTAATAGCATCTTCAAATGTTTAGATATTTTTTGGATATTTCAAAATTAAAATTTTAATACTTTAATATATTTTAATTGTATACTTAAGTTTTAATTTAAAACAATTAGGAAACCAACAAAAAAGTATATCAAGAGAACCGATTCTTATAAAAAAATTTTAGAAATTTTTGTTTTATGTTACAAAAATTAATTAACTTATATAAGAACATTATTTGGCGTTTGACAAATATAATAACTTACATTTTATTGAAAATTTAATTTTTAGAAAAAAAAAGAAAAGGATTCCACCAGATTTCTATGATTGTTTGAGTGAGTTTCATCTTCTTTTTTTTTAGGATTCTGCCATTTCTTATATTCTCTTGAGATTCCACATAAAAGAAATAACCATCGACTTGAACTTCTTATGATTTTGAGCATGTATGCTCAATAGCCCGTAAATACGATAGTTGATTAGTTCAAGAGACTTGAGGTGGATGTAGTTGCTGAAAATTGCATCTATCGTCTCTTTCGATCACTTCGGTCCGCATAAGCTAGTGTCCTCAGAAACCTTAGGTCTTTGGAAGCATTATTTGGTAGTTCAAAGTTATGCCATCGTTGATTCAAGACTTTAAGCGTTTCCATAGCCGAGAAATCGATTAGGATCTCCATAACATTCTTGAATTTGGAGAAATCTTACTCTAGCTCTTGGATGTTTTTACCAATGCATGTATTGATCCATGAGATGATTTTATCTTTTACCCCAAGATGATTGATAAACAAAACGAATTAGACTTCACCGATTTTTTTTGTTTATCAATCATCTTGGGGTACAAGTTATAATCATCTTGTGGATCAATACATGTAATGGTAAGAACATCCAAGAGCTATAGTTAGATTTTGCTAATTCCAAGAAAGTTATGGAGATCCCGATCAATTTCTCGGCAATGGAGACTCTACAAGTCTTAAAGCTGTCATCGTGTAAATTTTAAAATACCAAACAATTCTAAAAAAGTCTAAAGCTCTTGAATACAGTCTAGCTTATGCAAACCGAGGTGACGAAAGATTTGATTTATGCAATTTTCAGCAACTGCATCCACGTGAATCGCTTGAACTAATCGAATGATGTATGTATAGACTATTAAGCATACACACTCAAAATCACAAGAAGTTTAAGTAGATGGTCTCGTATTCTATGCGGCTCTTGAGTACATTTTAGCTTAAGCGAACTGAGGTGGCGAAAAAGACGATATATGCAATTTTCAGCAACTGCATCCACAAGAGTCACTTGAACAAATCGAATGCCGTATGAACATGCTACTAAGCATACACGATTATAATCATAAGAAGTTTAAGTTGATGGTCTTGTCTTCTATACATAATATCCGATACATCATTTTGGACGTACCCACTTTACAAAACTACAAGTATGATCATATAGGTAGTACAAGTTAGATAACTTCACATTCGATATTCTCTTTAAACCTCAGATAGTTTGCACCTTTTTTTTTTACATCGCTGAACTCCTCAAAGATTTCCCTAAATTTGAAGCGATGTACGTCTCTCTCTCTATCTATCTATATATCTATCTATCTACGTTCGTTAAAACTTTTTGTTTGTTATGTGCAGATTCTAAATTTCACATTTGCACCTCGATTGGATTATTGGGAGAGTTATCATAAGGAGGAAATTAAGAACAACAGTTACCTTTTGAAGTTTCTCAATGAAGTCAAAATATTTGGTTATAAAGGCTATTGGCATGAGCTTGATGTAGTAGAGTTCTTTGTGAAGAATGCACCATCTCATGTGAAGTTGGAATTGGCTATCCCCAAAAAAGCAAAAACCAAAGCTCATGCAAGTTTAAGTTCATGTTGTTCCCAAGCATGCCAAACTATATTTTGATGTTTTGAAACATATTAGAACTCTCAGATTTTATGTTTTTTCTTCCTTTTTAATTTTTTTATGAGCTTCTCTCAGATTTGAATTCCCTTGTTTTTGTCTTTGTTTATTTTAAAATTTGAACTCTTTTTCTTATTTTTTTAAATGAAATGTAAAATTTATTAATAAAAAAAAAATTGTTGTAAACCAAGTACTAGACAAAGGGACAATTAAAAGTAGAGATGCTGAAATAAAAGTAACATAGCCTAAAATTAAAGCCTACATAGTAAGTTCCATTTCCGCTGCAGTTCCTCACGAACATTGTTCAATGAAAATATGTGGGTGGAGATCACTCTATTAATTGCGGATATAAGGTTGTTAGCCGGAGTATATATAGTCATATTAGTGCGTCTCGCACAGGCCCGGCCCAAATGAGGTGAGTAGAGGGGCAGTAGCCCAGGGGACAATAGATTTTTGTAAAACATTAATATCAAATAGACATAAGCCCATATTCTTTTTAAAAAATTATAAATTGGCATTAACTTTCTAATAAATGGGTCCAAAATTTTCAAAATTATAATCTTTTACATAAAAAAAGCCTGTATAATTTTTAAAGATCAAAGTAAGACAAAAGTTATTTACAAAATAGTCCTGATTTTAACCAAAAATTCGAAAAAATCTCAAAAAAAAAATTAAGTAAGAAAACATCCAAATCATTTTTTTTGCCCAAGGGTCTCACTATATGTTGGACCGGGGCTGGTCTCTCGCATTGCTTTCAAGCCATATGTGGCAAATAGTAGTTTGAAAAATCAAACGTAGGAGAATAAAAGTCCATGGAGTGGAACCAGGGCCGGCCCAAACCTAAAGCAGCAAGCGGGTGCATTAGGCAACAAAATATATTTTAGATTTAAGGGGCATCGATTTTGTGTAAAGGTCTTGTAGTCTGTGTTTGGGGTCTCATTTAATAGTATAAGTTATGGGTTTTGAGTTGCCAAATTTTTTAACAACTTCTATATTTTAGTTTGTAAAAGGGCCAGCAAAATATTTATTGGGTTTTAGGCATCAAAAATCTTTGGAAGGACCTTGAGTGAAACTTATTAGCCATTATTTGAAGAAGAAAAAAATCAAACCATCACTTATATAAATAAAAAAAAGACGAAACAAAAAAATTATTTATACGTTTTCCTTTGGAACAATTCTTGAGTTCACCCCTAGGGGTGAACTTCTTTCATTCACCCACTCTTAATTAACCAATTAAAATTTGCCATGTCATCTAATTAAATAAATTAAAACAATTAATATTATCTAAATAAATAAACAAATAAATTCATTAAAGAAAAATTCTTGGGTTCACCCAAAATTATATATATGTTTGGGTTTATAAATTTGAATTAGGGTTTAGATTTTTATAATTAAACGAAATTATATGTCGGTTTGGGTTTATAAAAAAATGATTAGGGTTTAGATTTACAATTAAACAAAATTATATGTTAGTTTGTGTTTACAAATATGGATTAGGGTTTAGATTTTACAATTAAACATAATTATATGTCGGTTTGGGTTTATAAAAGAGTGATTAGGATTTAGATTTTACAATTAAACAAAATTCTATGTCGATTTGGGTTTATAGATGAGGTTTAGGGTTTAGATTTTACAATTAAACAAAATTATATGTCGGTTTGGGTTTATAAAAGAGTGGTTAGGGTTTAGATTTTATAATTAAATGAAATTATATGTCGGTTTGGGTTTATAAAATAGTGGTTAGGGTTTAGATTTTACAATTACATGAAATTATATGTCGGTTTGAGTTTATAAAATAGTGGTTAGGGTTTAGATTTTACAATTGCATGAAATTATATGTCGGTTTGGGTTTATAAAAAAATGGTTAGGGTTTAGATTTTATAATTAATTCAATTGAGAGGGTTTTTAATGAATTACTTTTTATAGATAATAATAACTGTTTTGTTTTTTTTTAATTATATTACATGGTAAATTTTGATTGGCTATTTCGAAAGGAGCGAATAAGAGAGGTTCACCCCTAGGGGTGAACTCAAAAATTGTTTCTTTGCTTTGTACCTACCTAGCCAATCAAGCCATCATTCACTTTTGTGATTTTTTGTGTTATTTTAATTTCTGTTTTTTTTTTTTTTATTGTGGTCGTCAAATTCAATTCAAAACAGATGCAAATGAGTTGCTATAATTCCACCAATTTCCGACCAAACACATTATTGAAAATGAACAAAAAATTCATCTATTAGTTGTTAATATGTTACGCTTTTGTGACTACATACACTTAGTCTTAAGTAAGTCACAAAGTATTAAAACTATTATGCGACTATACTGTAACAATAGTACTGACTAATATGGGACTACTTTTTGAGATTTTCATCGTTTTTTGCTGAGTTGATAAGTCCCATATTATACGACCATCAAACAAAGTCTCTAAATAGTCGTTAAATAAACATAGTCACTATTTAATTTGGTCTTTAACTATGACCTTTAGGGAGTGTTATTGGTTCCTAATATATAAGGAATTTTGATGACTTTAATAAAGTCATAGAAAGTAAACAAATGAAAGATTCTAAACTATTGCTAGAAAGTTTTTTATAATCTTGTTTATTATTTTTTCATAATCTTGTAAAGTTTTCTAAATAATTTCTCTATTTTAATGATACTTTTTATGACTTTATTTTGTGCAGAAAGTCATAAACCAATAACATAATAATTTATTTCATTAACAATCATAGATTTTTTTGTTTAATTGAATAACACAAAACTTTTAATGACTTTATAAAAGTATGAATCCAATAACTCCAGATTTATGAAGATTTTAGATTATTTTTTACAAATCTTAATTTAATAACACTAAATTTTAACAAACTTTTAAAAAAAATTGATTGAATAACAGTAAATTATACATAACATTTAAAGTCACTAAAACTCTATTTAAATCACAAACCAATAACACCCCCTATTAATTTGGGTCTTAACATCATCTCTTATATATGACTATATATAGCTGTTACAATGCGGTGGCAAATTAGTGACGGTTTTGTTACTAAGAAAATTTACGACCAAATATTTGTAACGTTTTGCCGTAGTCGGTAAGTAGTCTCTAATAGTGACTTTGTGACCAATTTAAGACGTTTTTGGGAGTCACAAAAAGATGGTTTTTTGTAGTTATGATCCATGAGTTTCAGAAAGAGTGTTATTTTTTTTGACAAATTTCACACATATAAAAAATGACTTAAATATACAAACATAATACCCTTATTTAATATACGGTTAATTATATCATAATAACTTAAATACAAAAGTTGCTTAACTTTGGATAAAGGGCAAAATCTGGAAATTAGTTACAAAAGTGGCATTGAAAATGTAAAATAGCATTCTTTTTATAACAGAAAAATAACTCTAAAACGACATTTTTTGTGAAACAGAGAGAGTATTATATATCAAGAAGCTTTCAGAGTCGAATTAAGAACCCAAAAATAAAACACACAAATAGAGTAACAGAAGTTGCAGAATGTTTTAGCAAAAACTACTCCCTACATCCCCATAAGAATAACATAAAGAAATTAAAAGAAATCAAGCAGAAGCAAAAAAAAAAAAAAAAAAAAAAAAAAAAAAAAAAAAAAAAAAAAAAAAAAAAAAAAAATGGATTTATGAAAGAAAGGGAAATGATCATCTTCATTAGCTTCCCTTTCGGCTCCATGGAGGAAAACAGCAACCCTACACATAACAATTTACAATTGACGTTGACAACTTAAATATGATAGATAACCAAAATATGATTATTTTTTTCAATGCATTTATCAAATTTATTATATTGTCTCGTCATGGAAATAGAGTAATGGCGGATAGAGTTAAGTATGATAATGATCTATTCTTTTGTTGTGTGGCTATACTTTCTAACTAATTTGTTCAAATATTATTATGGAAATATAGAAATAAATAAAAGAATATATATACCTTGGGACTAGAAGGTAATGGTTGATGATGTTGGTTGATAATGGGTCGAGTCGGGGTGCTATGATCGGTTCCATTAGAAGATCTTGCTTGGTTCCTATCTTCTTTCACTTTGTCAAAGATGAGTGTGTAACTCTGATCCTCCATGTTCGAACCCGATCCAGGAAACGGCGGAATAGTCGCCACCTAATTGAGAAATATACACTTATTTAGCGATATATTTATGAATTGTGACACATTTTTGTATTAGAAAATGGTAAAAATATACATACCCTTTCACTACTTTGACCTCTAAGATTGCGTATGGGCCGCACCGGGACATGATCACGTGATTGCCGTCTATTTGTTTCCGACGGATTTCCCATTGACCTGCCTCCTCCACCATATGATTGATGGTTGGATGTTTCTGGTGTGGGAGGAACTGATTTAACTCTTTTGTTTCTTTCATTGTGTGCAGGAGACGGTCTGAATTCGGTTTCTTCTCTGCTATTGAATCTTTCATGTCTTGGTCTAACATTATGGTTTGGTGCTTGTTGGTCATGCCTAGACATATTTCGATTTTGTGCAGCGTTTGGATTCATTTCTGGATATTCATTCGGGTTGGACACGTTCATATCTTTCTTGCTTTTGCTCACTTTTTCGAACACGACCGTGAATGCAGGAGCATCTTCGGTCCAGTCTCCGAATTTGGGCACGTGTGGACGATTCTATAACCACAAGAAAGAAAAAAATGATTTTGAGAAACATAGACTTGTATTAAAATTGTAAGTAAGAGACATAAATATTCTTACAAAATTAGAAATCTCATATTATGATTGAGGGTTATAGACCATATATATACGGTATAAAGAGTTGGTGCAGATATTTAGAGCTGAAAATTTATATTTGCTACAATGTTTAGAGCTAAATCTTAGCGTGCAAGAAACAGAAACATCATCGATATGTCGAAGCTAATCATAATTTCATTACGTATTGATGTTAAGAAGAAGACCAATAAGAATTAATGTGATATTCATACGCATAAATGTCAATATAGAGAGTCAAACAAAAGAAAATCTCGTGATACCATAGATTCTAGAAAAACTAAAAGCCCTAAACATGTTATAGGATCCATATGTAGGTAAGAACCATACAAACATATTTGAGAATTACTCTCCATTCTCACGGAGTAAAACTCAGAGATAGAGGGTAGAACAAAAACAAACACTTGTAGAACAAATCGAAAATTATCATAAAATGAAGACTAAAACCAAAAAAAAAAAAAAGACTTACTGCCATATTTCTGAATCTCCAGCAGCCAGAAATGAAGAATTGCTTCAATGGGTCTGAAACAAAGAGAGATTATTGAGAGATAGAGAGAGAGAGAGAGGTAGGAGACGTGTAAACACGAAGGCGTTGACAATTCATTGTCATTGACTTGTCTTTCTTTGTGATTGCGTAAACCGACGACGTACGACTCCTTCTACGGTTCTGGTTGGTCTTCTTTGTATCTTAATGATTAACGAATACTTCCAACTAGGTATTATCCGATTACATAAAAATTATAGTTAATTGGTTCAAATGTTTTTGAGACTCCTGACCAAAAAAAAACGAAAAGAGAAAGGTTGACTTTAATCGATCCCAAACCAAAAGTCTCTACTTCTCAAAATAACTCTAGATTTTATTTGCTCTCTATGCTAGTATATCAGAAAGGACACAATTCGGTTAGATCAATAGTTTGTATGAAACACTTAAATGTTTTTCAATTTTTTTTTCTTGTATGATAGGTAGCCAATAAACTACTCTATGAACATGGGAGATCAGAAAGGACGATCATTTAGCATCGTTGTACATAATTTAGAGCATGTTAAACTCTTTCCACTGTATACTTTTTATCTTCATGACAAGAAGCAGCTAGTTTGATCATATTTTTTGGCACGTCTAAAAAGAATGGATTTAATTCTAAATTCGTAAAGCTCACACGTGAGTACATTATGAGATATTTTAAAAGTACTAGTACAAATGTACCAGATCCTTTTAAGAATTAAGAGCATCATGAAACTCTTAAACGTCAAGATGACTTACCTTGATCGGATCTCAAACGGCGGTGGTAATTCGAACTACCACTTGTCTTTTTGATGTCATTGTCAAAATAAAAGGTCATGCCATGACGGTTTGATTGTATCTTCAAGATATGAAGTATATCATATACCAGTCATCTATCAGAGCCGGCTCAACTAATTTGGAGTCCCTGTACAAACTTTAAAAATTGGCCCTTTTTTCATACATAAAAAAAAAAATGAGCCTCTTTCATGTTAAAAAACATCTTTAAAAAATTGATTTTTTCATACTAAAAAAATATTTGGGTCTTTTTCATACTAAAAATACCTTAAAGTTTTTAAAATATCTTTTTTTTACTAAAAAAAAAAATTTAGACCCTTAAATTTACCCGAAATTTTTTTGGTCCTGTACATTTGCTCCCCAGAACCTCCCTAACGCCGGCCCTGCATCTATGAAGAATTCATATTAAGCTACAAATTAAACTTAAGATTTAAGAGTAAATAACCTTTATTTTTATTACTAAAATTGATATTTTAACAAAACTTTCGATGGTTTAAAATTTGTTGACATTTTCCTTTTCAAAACTAATTTGTTGACAGAGGCAACTTTACCATTGCCTCGTCATCTCTCTTAAAAGTAAAGTAAAAGGACAAATTTATCGTTGCTTTTGCAAAGGCATGACTAGTTTAGACTTTAGAGTAGAGTTCACTCTTAAATCTTAAGTTTACATAATTAGTACACCATTAATCACAACCATTAATCACAACCATTGATCTCTCTCTCTCTCTCTAGATTAGTACTACTAAACAACATTTATACCTTTATGCTTTCTACTGAACTTTTCTCAGATCCTTCTTCTTCACTATTCAGTGTTTCATCTCTCCTACTAAAACCTTCTTCGATTTCTTGACTTCAATTCTTCTCTTAGTCCTCTCCATTTTATGATTTCTTGGTGGTATCAAGAACTGAGTGACCGCTTTCTTGAAAAAGCAAATGGGTTTTAGATAAACTCGTTGCTTGCTTTTCTCTTCGTTCTCCGATCTGGGTTTTGGTTTTAATCTCATACCCAAGTACCAAAACTTGAAGACAAGAGTTAGAAATTAGGGTTTAGAGTTTACCTTATTGGTGAATTGTGGTAAAGGAACAAACTTTAGGGGAAAATTCAGACATGATTCAGTTACTGTTTCTAGTTCTATTTGTGGAAGGTGCGATTGCATTCTTACTGTTGATAAAGATTGGTCCTTTGAGAGAGCTTGTGATTAAAAGTCTTGACCAGATGAAGATGGGTAAAGGTCCTGCCACTGTAAAAACCATTGCTGGAACTATGTCTGTTATACTCTTCTCTAATCTCATGAGCATTGTCAAGATCCAGAACAAAGGTGCAAAGCTTGGGACAATGTCTCCTATGGATCAGGTTCTTTGGAGAACACACTTGCTTGAAGCTTCTTTATTGGGTCAGTTTCTCTCTTGTTTTTTTCTTGTTGTGATACAAAAATTGAACCATAGGGCTTTGTTGATTGATTGTTGTCTTGATTTTTCTTTAGCTGTTGGCGTCTTGATTAGTTTTTAGTTATGGTTTCTGAACAAAAGTTGAAATCTTGGCTTGATTTTGTGCTGATAAGTCTAGCTGTTCTCTTTGGTGTATGGCTTTCAAGGCTTTGTTGTAGCTAGAGGGATGATCTGAATAATACAAACTCGCCAGCTTAAGTTGAGTGAGCACTTATAGGAGAAGTTTATGTTTTGATTAAGAGTTTGTATACCAATTGAGTGGATAACGGTGTCGATGTATAGAACCACAATGCCGGTGTTTTCGTATCACACGGTATGAATATATCTATAGTTGTATCCAAGGCTCTGTTCTGCTAGTATTCACCAGATTTGAGAAGTTGACTTGGTATCCTTATTAACAGTAACAAAATACTTCTTTTATTGATCTTGATTTGTTGATTACAATCAAGAACACATGGCCAAAATATGCATTCACATATGATCTAGCTCTTAGCTATGTAACACATGAAAATGTTGAGCTTTATAAAGTGTACATAATGAAATTACATTTGAAGCTCAAAAACCTTAATGATCTTTGCAGGAGTCGTACTTTTTCTCGGCTTCATAATTGACAGAATGCATCACTACCTCAGAAAGCTAATCAATTTAAGAAGCAATGTTGGGTCATCAAAAGATGAACTTGAACAGCTCCAGAAAGAAAGAACCGAACTGAAGGAGAAAGAGGAGAAAGCATCCAAGGAAATCAAGCAGCTGCAAGAAAAACTGTCATCGATTTTAGAGAGACTTAAGAAAGCAGAGACTGAGTCAAAAGAGAAAGAGAAGAAACTCGAAACCGCTGAAACCCATGTCACGGCGCTACAGAAACAGTCTGCAGAGCTGCTTCTAGAGTATGATAGATTGCTAGAAGATAACCAACATCTCCAAAGCCAAATCTTGGGGAAAACGAAAAGCTGATGGTAAGATTTTCTGGTGTCATTTAACAATGGTGAAGAAGAGAGAGTTTATGGAGTATTGTAGTTGCAGGAATTCTTGCAACATTTTTGTTTTTAGTATATGGATATTGAATGTCTTTGGAAACTGGTTCTTGTTTCTTCTCAAGTCTTTGGAATGTTTTGTGACCACAATTATATCAGAATTCATGTTGAGTATGACAAAGAAAAAGAGCTACGATGGTTCTTTAAATTGGTACATAAACCCGTTTGGTAAGGGACTAAGGGCTTTTCCAGGCTTGGGTTGCCCTGAAACTTGAACATATTGTCGAAATTCATTTAACTGAGCTTAGTGTAAGTTTCTTACTTAACTTTTTGACTTTTTCAATGTTATTTTAAACATTTATTTTTGATGTTTCTTTACATTTTCGTTTACTTATAATATGATTGCAAGCAAAGGTTTAGATGTAGAAGTATCTACTATATATCCTATACTATTATTTGGGGAGTACACTTTATAAGATACCCTTAGCTAACCTTCCCTTTTGTAAAAATTTACTTAAGAATGCGATTAGAGATAAAATTTCAAAGAATAAATTAATTCATCTTATTAAGGATAAAAAAGTCAATTTATACAATTTAATTAATTTAATTTAATTATAAAAACGAAAAATACATTATTATTATTATTTTTAAATGACCAATCAAAATGAATATATAAGATTTGATATCTAACTTACCTTATTAATTTGTTATTAATCATTATATTTCACCTCTCATCTTTATATGATTCTATTCTTGTGAAACAAATAAATTATCATATCATCCATATAATAATAAAAAATAGATTTTTTTTCCGCATATGCCATGATTTGAATTTTTAAAAACGAATATAAATTATTCAATTTATGAAAAAGAAAATTTAACGAGTCAAAAATTTAGACTTGGATAATATATTTATTTTAAACAAAAATAAATTCAACAAAAATTCCGCCTCAATAACGGGTCAGGATTTGAGTGATTATATTCAATTTCATATTTTTAAAAAATATTAATTTTATATACTACGATTAAATTTTAAATATTTTAATTTGGAATATTTGAAAATAGTTTTACTTGATATTTAAAAACAAATATCATCAACACTTAATAAATAAAAAATTAAAAATTATACATACACTAATTTGGTTTTCTTAAAACAAATATATTTAAAAAATATTTATAATAGACGGTGGGTTAAATATAATGTATTATATGATGGAATGAGTTATGATCCTTATAACTATTTGAATATTTATATTTAAGTTCATACAATTATTTTTTTAAAAAATCTTAATTTTATATTCTACAATAAAAAATAAAAATATTTTAATTTGGAAAAATTTAAAAATAGTTTAATATAATATTTTAAAGAATATCATAAATATTTAATAAATCAAAAGATAAAAGTTATAAATACTCTAATTTCATTTTTCAAAGCATAAATATTTAAAATATTTATAGCAAGCAACATGTTAAATGTAATGTATTATATGATAAAAAGAGTTATGATCTTTATAACCGAAACCATGTTAAGATTATATGATGAGATGAGTTAAATAAGGTTTGACACCTCTAAATATTTAAAATTTTGATTCTATAACTATATATGAAAATAATGAATGATGGATTGTGCACACAATTTTTTTATTGGGATTCTAAAATAAAAATATAGGTACGCACGGGTTGAATTTAATCTTATTATATACCAAAATATGTTTATTATATACACAATTTTTTTTCACTTACTACTAGCTTATATCAAATACATACGTTTTATTTTTAACCAAAAAACGTAAAAAACCGTAAAAGATCGAACTGTAACTAAACCGAATTACATACGGTTTCTATATGGTTTCACTTTCTACAAAACGAAAAAAACGATACTAAACCGAAAAACCGTACCCCACCCCTAATATTTTCTCATCAAACAAAATAAAATAAAATAAAAAATTCTTATATGTCATTGTATTATGTAAAGAATTATTAAAATTGTACTATAAAATAAACAATAATCCAATTTTATATAAATTTTTAAAAATTAAAATTTCATCCGTGCTGTTCCAGCACGGGTTATGATCTAGTTAGAAAAGTAACTTTGGTTCTTTCTTACTTAATTACATGAGATGCCATAAAAAATAGCTAAAGATGTTAAATTAAGAAATATACAATTGTCTTCAAATTAATTGATGATCTTTTTTTATTTTGTTTTTATTTTTAGATCCCCCAAAACTTCCAAAGATTTATCTATCATTTAATTCATTAATTTTATTATTAATTTTCATTGAAATTTTCGTCTTTATTTATGACTAATAAATTTTATTCTCCCAAAATAATATATGAAATCTATATATGCTTTTTTTTGGTGTAAATGTAAAGTTATATATATATATATGAACCGTAAAAGCAATAAATACATGTTATGATAATTTGATAGTAAACATTACAATATATATATATATATATAACATTATAATATTTAATGTTATCTGGTTTTTGTAAATTATCATGTTGTTAGTATGTTCTTTAGATAGCAGATTAGTACTAAATGTTTGTTTGATGTAAAAATAAAATATAGTTAGTTCAACTATACAACGTGCTACTTTATAATATTAATATGAAATAAAGACTTGGGAGACTCACAAAAATGCCCCTTTTTCAATACCCCTTTTCAAAAATGCCCCCTTTGGCTGTCCATTTTTAAAAATACCCCTTTTTATGTACAAAATGACTAAATTACCCTTCTTTTAATAAAATATATCACAAATATATAAGGAAATATAACAAAATTAGGTCCACAAAATACAAAATATTTTTTGGCGGGAAAAGTGATCCCGCAATTTTTCCCGCCAAAACACTTGTAAAAACTTATAAAAACCTTTAAAATACCTTGTAAAATTTTCCCGTAAAATTTTTTCCCGCAAAAAAATTTTTTTTGCGGGAAAAGTGATTCCGCAATTTTTTTGGCTTTAAATTTTTGGCGGGAAAATTTTTGGCGGGAAAAATTTACAAGGTATTTTAAAGGTTTTTTACAGGGTATTTATAAGGTTTTAGAATGTATTTTAAAAGGTTTTACAACGTATTTATAAGGTATTTATAAGATATTATAAGATTTTACAAGCAATTTTATAAGGTTTTACAAGTTTTTTATAAGGTTTTACAAGTTATAAATACCTTATAAAACCTTATAAGTACCTTGTAAAACCTTTTAAAATACATTGTAAAACCTTACAAAACACTTGTAAATACTCTGTAAAACCTTTAAAAAACCTTGTAAATTTTTCCCGCCAAAAAATTTTTGCCAAAAAAATTGCGGAATCACTTTTCCCGCAAAAAATATTTTTTGGCGGGAAAATTTTTTGGCGGGAAAAATTTTTACGGGAAAATTTTACAAGGTATTTTAAAGGTTTTTTACAAGTGTTTTGGCGGGAAAATTGCGGGATCACTTTTCCCGCCAAAAAATATTTTGTATTTTGTGGACTTAATTTTGTTTCAAATAAGGGTAAAATGGTCATTAAAAAATAAAAGAGGGCAAACTTAAAAATGGACTCTCAAAGGGGGCATTTTTGAAAAGGGGTATTGAAAAAGGGGCATTTTTAACAATTTCTCTAAAGACTTCACATTTTAACTAAGACATAGAGTTATTATTTAAAAAAATATCAAGCGGTTCGGAAATCCAATCGGACGTACAAAAATTATGAAACTTTTTCCTTGTTAGTATTTTATTCATATTGGTTTATTTAAATACTCTTATTCTATCTCTAGTTTAAATAATATTTTACTAGTTTTTTATTTTTGATCATACTTTCTTATAAATAGGTTCACTAACCCACATATCTTACAAAAATAAGGAGTTTCATGACATTATTGGAGCCAATATGGACTTTGGGAGCTATTGCTAGGCCTGGGAATTCGAACCGAACCGATTTGTCCGAACCGAACCGAACCGAGGTTTGGGCAAATCGGTTCGGTTTCTGTTTATTAGGTTTAACCGATCGGAATTGTTTTAAATTTAGTTCGGTTAACCGAGATTTTCGGTTCGGTTCGCCCGAACCGAACGGTTAACCGAAAACATAAAAACCCTAACCTAATATACTCCTAGCCGCCTACCAAACTTCTTCAATACTTCTTTTTCTCCATCTTTCTTTTGGATCTCCTTTCTTCTTCTGCGATTCATCATCACCCTCATCTTCTTCTTCTCTGATTAATCTCATCATCTTCTTCGTTTCATCATCTTCTTCTTCGTCGTCGTTTCATCATCTTCTTCTCTCCATTAATCTCATCATCTTCTTCTTTGATTCCTCATCTTCTTCTTCGATTCATCATTTTCTTCTTCGATTCATCTTCTTCTTCGATTACGACCATCATCTTCTTCTTCTTCTTCTTCTATACCGTAATCTGCGCCCTTGAGATCTCGCCGCTGGTGTCTCCGATCAACGACTCCACTCCTCGATTCATCTCACACCAAATTCATTTTTTTTTTTTTTTTTTTTGGTCAAGAGACCAAACTTCACTTTTTTCTCTCATTTTTGGTGGATCAAGAGATCAATGAATTATTGGGCCAAACGTCACCAAATTCAATTTTTTTTTATGGGTCAAGAGACCAATTTTGTACAAGCCCAAATAGAAAATAGTTTTTGGCCCAACAATTATGAACCGAAAAAACCGAAAGGCAAAAACCGAAATAATCAGTGTCCGAACCGAACCGAACCGAAATTGTTAGTCGGTTAGTTCGGTACAGAATTCATTTTCCGAATAAACCGGAAAACCGACTAACCGAAACCGAATAAACCGATCGGTTTAAATTCGCAGGCCTAGCTATTGCCTTCAATCTCTGTGTGTCATTGAAATAATTTGTTGGAAACAGTCAAATTAAACAAAAATTCATCAAACTACTAAAGTGCTGTCTTCTTTTTTAACCCAATGGATCTTCATTAATCCAGTATAATAACCCACATTATATGTACTCTATGAAAACAACTTTCTATAAAAGGGTCCACAATTTTCCAAAATATCATTGATTATTTTCTTTTGATTAACCTCGAGAATTCGTCAATCCCTTAGCCCTCTCTTTAGTTTTAGAATATTTCTTTTACCTCGAGACTTAGTCATTAACACTTTTTGACTATTTTCCGGTCATATCTTCATATAAACCCCCAAATTTCATATTTTCGATCCCACAAACATCTCACTAAATCATCAGCCAAACTTCATACTACCTTTTTTCTTCATACGGGTCACTAGTTATTTTCCACAGCTTTTGATTTTATCTAGTTTTCGACTAAGTTTTAGTTTGTTTTACTTATTTGATAGTCGGAAAGTCTTCAAAACAACCTCCAATCCATGCTATATCTTAACAACTCGTGCTGGTGGAGTCACAAAAGAGATATTTTTGAGCATCAGTATGCAACAGCCACTGCATTGTGTCATACCACGACGAAGGAAACTTTATATCAAGTTTTCGATTTAAGGAAACTCTAACATTATAAATTTGTTTAAAAGGTACATTATATATTTGATTTAAAAAGTCATGTCGAAAATGTAAAATGTCATTATTTAGAAAAACATTAAGAGCAATACACTTTATAAACTTGGAGGAAAGAAAAGAAAAGAAAAGAAATCATACTTTTATTTGACCACATGTTTGTGTATAATATTAGCATTTTTAATTTTTGATATATGATGTAGTTTATCTACGAGTAGAATGGATATAACTTTTGGAGTACTCAAATTTCAACTAATGTATATAAATTTTGGAATAACTATTTAAAAAAAAAATCTAAATAATTTATCATTTAAAAATTATGTGTAAATCTCAGGAAAAATAACAGCTTTTGGTAATATATTAGGTAATCGCCATCTACCATTAGTTAAGGATTAACATTTGGTAATATATCTTAGACTCTAAAGTTGGTAAAATATATTTTAGAGTCTAAAATCAATATATTAAGTAAAGGTGAATTAACATGTCCATGTCTATTATTGATTATAATATTATATAATATTTATACTCTTAACACTTTAAACTAAAATAGTTTTTAAAAAATGTGAGGTGGAATGTTTCTATAATTCAAATCAAATGTACAAAATCTTAACGGTTCTATTTCATAACTAAAAGTGAAAAAAAAACCTTAAATATAATATGCGCATAAAAATTATTCAAGATAACACATATATGTGGGGGAAAAACACATATCACACAGAAAAATGAAACAACAAAAATAAGAGTATCACAAATATTTGAATTTAAAAAGCATAATCATTGTGAAAATATAATAAAGATATCACTATCACAAAACTGACAACATTAAAACGTAAATTGTAGTGCAACAAAAAAAAAACATAAAGCTAGTTATAGTTTTACTTATCAATCGATTCTCGAAATTATTGTAATGCCACATTCAACGAAATCCTAACAGAACCATATAGTATTGGTAATACTTGAACAAGTAACATGGATGGTATTGCTTGAGTTGGCGGCATCATGAGCGGTTGAAGGATTCACCAGGGGTATGATGTTGGTGCTCTTGTTGCTGGTGGTGGATGTGGTTTTGGTGGTTATCATCCATGAATTGAAATCCCATTTGCTCTGTTGGATACTTCATTTGTTCAGGATGGTTCATCATTTCCATAAACCATTGTTGTTGGTTCTGATTATGATTCTGATTTAAATTCAGATTTAGATTCCAAGGTTGCTCATTAAATCCAACATGTTGAACCGCCGGATGACGAAACTGTTGATGCTCAATAGGGTTAAAGAAATTTGCGACAGCCGCAGATGAAGAAGAAGAACCCACCTCATAAATTGTAGTGGTGGGAGCTGTTGTAGCCACCAAATCTGGCATTAATCTATTCCCTTCAGAAGCCGCCGCCGCAACAGAAGAAGATTCACCAATCTCCATACCAGAATTTCGTAAAATCTCGATCCTGCGATTGACATCTTTAAGATATTGTTCAATCATATAACCCAAATCGTTAAGATCCACAATATTTAGATGAAACATCTCCATGTTTCCAATCAAACATTGGAACATGACTTCACTCATCTCGAGCTCCCTATTATCCTTTCTTTGTCTCCTCAAATTCTCTGTCGCTTTCGCGATCCTTTGTTTGAGAAAACTCTCTTGATCTACCATCTTTTTGTGTTGATCCATCTCTGGGAGTGTCCTAAATTCTGAAACCACCCTTTGCACACCGGAATTTGATGGCCACACTTCAGGGCTGGTATCGTACGGGCTATAGATGATCGCGCATGCAGTGATGCCACATAGAGTCGAGAGTTCGTGTACTTTCTTCATCAAACCCTTCTTTCTTTTCTTGAAAGTTGCTTTTCTTGAAGAATCGTTGGGAATGTAAGCAAGTTTCACTTTCTTTCTCGTCATTAAAAAATATTTATTTCTCTTTGTTTTTTTTTTCTTTGTTTGTGTGTTTTGTTTTGAGATTGTGAATGTGTAGTATTATATATATAGTAATGAAAGGGTACAAAAATTTGTTTTTTTAGTAAGTGATATTTAATTTTAGATTACATCTAGTCAACATAATAAAATGTATTTACAGCTAATAAAATTGTGTTATATAGGGTATCTTTCTTTTATTACAAGAAAAAAATCTAAACGTCCAAATCAAGCTTAATGCATGAACATTATAAAAAAAAATCTGAATGGATTGAAAATACAGATGAAAACCGTTTTTCATTTTACATGTTTTACCAATACTAATTTGACATATGAAAAACTATAGTCAAAAGTCATAAATAAATATTGTAATGAACTAATAGGAGAATGATAATATGAAAAAAATAAAATAGGATAAAAAAAATTAGCTAACAAAAAACAAGATGCAATTATTACGATTATTTAAAAATATAATTTCAAATATTTGATAATTACTAAGATTTGGTATTATAAGTTAAGTCAAAGATTCTTTTTCAATATATTTTTGTGATTTTTTTCCTTATTGGAGACATTGAATATGGTTTATTGACTTGTGAATTAATCATGAACTAAAGCATCATAAAGATAATTCTTAAAAAATCGTTTCATAATCTCATGCTTTTGTATATATATTTAGACTATATTAGCAATTTTACAATACCCATCGCCAAGTATAAATAAATATAAATAAATGCATGTACAATTAGACTACATTTCTTAAATAAAATAAAATATATAATTGAGGGTGGTAAGTTTAAATATAAAATTTAGAAGGGACATCATGGGCGAATATATTATAGCCAACTTGTGATGTTATCAGAAGATTACGAGTCACATTTAGTAATGAATCAGTGTGTACATTGAAAATCAAAAGTCTAACCAAATGTATATAATTAGAATAAAATAATATGTATATTTATATGGAATTTATAAATTTAGAAAAATATCTACATTGTATTTGTAGATATATTGGTAATAATAACCACAAAAGAATTTATAATTTGTCAAATAATCATATAACATAAAGGGTTTGATTGGAAAGTACTATTAGAGTTTAAAAAACAGAATAAAGGATAAGTACTCTACTTTATGCTAATACTGATTGTCTGATTCAATCAAGATAAAAAAGTATTTTAAGCTGATTTGTTTTTTTTGTAGTCTTTTTCCTCTATTTTTTACTTTTAAAGCTGAAAAAAATTTCCGCCTAAAAATAGTGGAGTAAACTTTTTCTCTTCATTTGATGTTTCTCTTTAAGGTCAATTACTCTATTTCTCTTTGAGCCCAATCACAACCAAAATGTTATGATATTCTATTTGTAAATTACTAGTTGGATCGTATTTAATTCCCTTATCGGCGCATTTTCTCTGTCTTTTGTTTTCTTTTCCTTCTCTCTTTATATTTTTTCTTTTTGGATAATACATTTGTTTTCGTCTCTCTGGACTTATTTGCTATCAAATTTTGTAAAAATAAATAAATCTCGAAATCCTTTTTAAAACTTCGCTCATACTATGATTTAAATTTTTAAAAAATATAAATCTGAAGAAGTATATGTGACTTAGTAAAAACGAGTCATTCTATATAGAACATATACACTAACACATGTTTTACATATAAATCATAAAAAATAGTAATTTTATCTAAATAAAAAAATATGTTATTTTGGAGATTTTAGTTTATTATATAGGTCTTAAAACTTATTTTTTGGTTAGAGTAATTTGAGTTTAGTGTTCCGAATTTTTTTATTTATGTTAACATATTTTTGTAAGTATAACAAAAATAGCACATCCGTTGATATAGAACACACATACACATGAGAGAATTAAGAAATACACACACACATACATCCGTTAATTTTATCAAAATTAAGAAATACACCATTTTCCGGGGTTGTGTTAATTTATAAAGTTGAAAAACATTTTTTGGATTTAGGATGTGCACTTCTCTTTGAGAAATGATACACAAGAAATGAAGGAAACCTATTAAGCATTATCTGGTCTATTGAAGGGATGCAGAGACTTCGGATAGAAAGGGGGTGGTTCTTGCCTCAGAAGTAGCTAACATTATCAAAGCAACGAACTGGCCAAATGCGTAGCCATCTTTAGTTTGCTTACCAGTTACCAATCTTCTGAAATGTTGCCGGCATTAGGGAAACTAAAAGATTGGACTTTAGTTTTGGAGCCTCACTCAACAAATAAAGGTGCTATTCTTATTGCTCAAATTGTTGTTAAGGACACTTTAGAGTATCAATGTATATTTAGATGACAGAAAAAACTTTAAAACACTGAAAACGCCGTCTGTGGGGATCGAACCCACGGCCACGTGGTTAAAAGCCACGCGCTCTACCACTGAGCTAAGACGGCTAATTGTTAGTATTGTTTAGTTTAATAGTTTAATCACGTTTCAAGTTATTCATACTTGAAGACAGATAACATACTTAGTTGCTTATTACCAAATATGGCCTGTAACATCGCTTCATTATCATATCTAATATATTGGAAGAATCAATCCTTTGCAAAATGAGGATTGTATTGTCATTGAGTCTACTAAATTCACTTTCAAATTCTGTCTTTTATTCATGTTTTTTTTGTAGCAAAACTTGGTTAATGATCAACTCTTGTGACTAACCTTCCAGTCACAAGTTTGTTTTCTTGTCACCTTTGCTTTCTACAAGGTTCATCAAGAGAAGCAAGATCTTAAGCACATTCCAACATTGCTCTTCTTGTCTTTCTCTGTCTATGTTAAAAGGTTACAACTGTTTAATCTCAAAACTCTAACTACTTGTTGTCTCTTGAGATACAGATGAGAAAGGAAAAAGACAATAAAAAGTCAAAATGCAGCATCTTTCTGACAATATCCCAGATGTATCATCATGCACCTAAGCTTGAGAAGCTGGACTATCCACGTTTAGATCCCAAGGCAAGAAGTATCTTCTTCCTAGGTCCCTGAAAAACAACACACCAAGAGAAGATTTCAAACAGAGAAACTCTAATCTAAACATTGCTTTCTTAATAGTAATCGAATTAAAAATGGAGCAAAACTGAGGTAATGACTATTAAGTAAGGTATGCTGGTATCAAGCATGGCGACAACAAATCTTGTGGAAGCTTATCAAGGATTTTACCATTGGTATGAACAAAGCTTTGAGGTCATCATCTGTCATATGCCTGAGAGCATCCATATCAACCTGGAAAAAGAGGGAAACCAATAAGAATCCTTGTATATCTATAGACGGCATCGTGAAGAGAACGCAGGAACTAGTAGTAAATAAAATTTACATACTTCTTCCACTTGAAATGCAGTCGAATATTTCTCGAGACCCAATGATTCCAGGAAGCTATCAACCGATGCATCATTCTGAACCAAAAGATAACAAACTGAGAAGTGAGAACTAGTACTGCTGAAACATCTATTTAGTCGAATAGGCATTGCAAAGCTCTATGGCATAAAATACTGACTAGAGAACTATATAGTTGGAGAGAATGAATTATATTGCCTGCTGTGGTTTCTTCTTGATTGCTCTGTTCGGAGCCGTTCTAGTCTCGGATTTGGTTACCCCTGCAACCTTCTTTAAGGCTGGTCTAACAGCCTCCCTTTTACTGTTCTTTGTTTGTGGATTCACTGTCCCGGATAGCTTATTCCGTAGATCCCCGACGCTCAAACTAAACACTCGTCCACCAATTTGCAAGCCATGATGTTTCTTTTGGAGCTTCAAGCGTAGATCTTTAGGATCAAATCTGCGTTCTTAGCAAGTCAATACAACAGAGTCAACAACCAAACAAATAAACATAAACATTCAATGATTGTAAGCAAAACAAGCAAGAAAAAGTGACAGTTAACAACATACTTGAAAGCCGAGGCTCGTCGTCATCATCGAAAAGATCATGCTCCCACTTATCATCATCCTGCCTTCCTCTGAAAACAATTAGGTAATTACACTTATGTTTAAACATCACAAAACCAAACATACAGAGCTAAAATCTATGAAACTGTTTGAAATTGTAATGAAATTGTAAGAACTAGTAAAAGCAACTGACTTTATGAGCTAAATCAGAGAATCAATTAGTAATCATCTTCAATACAAAACCAAAAGGAGATTCGAAATAAGAATTCATTGAAGCAAGTTTACAAAAATCGAACCTCTTCCTCGTGACTTGTTGTTGTTTGCCGCGAGAAGAGACGTCACCGGAAGCGCCATTGAGGCGGTTCTTTAACGATTTGCTGATTCTAGTTTCAGCCACAACTTGATCTGAATACATATCGAATGGGGGAAGACAAAACAAATGGAACCCAAAACCCTAATTTAGGAAAACCAGAAGGGAGAAGAACGAAACAGAAGTTGAGCTCTCCAAAGTTACAAAACCCTAATCTGAATCTGGAAATCACAGTAACAAGAGGTGAAACTCTCGAACGATTAAAAAAGAAAACGATATTTCTAGTTTCCGATTTCGACCGGTTTCACAATAATATCAAACATAACCGGGTCGAATCGGGTCTATCCGAAGTACTAACTACTCCACTACTACTAAGCACAATCGGGTCGAATCGGGTGATTCGGGTCAGATAGGTTTATTTCTTCTTTATTTTTTTTTCGAAAAAAACTTAAAAAAATAGCTCCTTTTTTTATGAGTAAATTTGGAAAAATACCCCTTTTTTGTTTATACTTTTGAAAAATACCCTCTCTTTGTTTTTTTAAAAACAATTCTAAAATATACAAAATTACTTAAAAAATCTTATTTAAACTTAATATTAATTAAGCAAAAGGATCTATATTTTTAATATCAAATTAATTAATTAGTGATAATTAAATATCTAATTGTTACAAAGTTGTCTGTTGACCAAATCATGTTCGTCTTTCACCATGGATGTTGTTTTGTAACTTTGAATGTTATATAACTCATTATTCCAAAGATCCATAATCCTAAATATTTTTTAAGAAAAATAATGAATAATAGCATTCTACCAATGTTAAGTCATGATTTTTTGTTAAGTCATATGGTGTAGATTTTAATGATTCATTATAATTGAAAACACATAAAATAGTTTACTTTGCAAAAAAAATTCAAAAAGAATCGTTTAAATGAAGCAAACTTTGGTAATATGTTGAGTTAAAAAATGTGTTTGGTGCGTTGGAGATTTTTTTCTTTATATAATATGATAGATATTAAACGATAGACTTTATAATATTTTTGGATTTAATCTTGTTAAAATTTAATATATAAAATAAATAAAGTATTTCTGTGTTAAAAATATATATAACCATGATTAATATTATTCCGAATTTAGTATATATTTTTCTCTAAATTTCTAATTTTTTTATTTTTCAAAAATGTAGCTTTAAATTTCAATTTGAAGAAAATTGTCATTTGATATATAATTGTAGTCTTTATTTAAAAAAAAATAGAAAATGGTATATTTCAAAGAATAACTCAAAAGTACGGTAATTTTCAAAATTACCCTTTTTTATTTGGACGTTTAATACTTTAATTTTTTTCGTTAGAAGAAAAATAACTCATTCAATTATATTCGGTGTAAAAATATTTTATTTTTGAATTCTTGATAGATTCAAACCCGCAACTTGATGGCACATAACGAACGTACGCAATCAGTAAACGACGTTAAATTTTAACGGAATAACTGCACGGAAAATACTCCATCTGTTTTTGTTTGAGCGTTTAATATCCCAACTTTTCTGGTTAGAAGAAAAATACCTCATTGAAATATATTTGTCTAACTATACATTATTTTGAATTATTGATAGATTCAAACTCGTAACTTAACAGTCGTTAACGAGAATTCCAAAATCAGTAAACAACGTTAAATTTTAACTTCACATGTATAAATAGATATAAAATCTTACAAATATATTGGCGTGATGGAGTTTTGATCGTATTAACGCCATTAGTGTTAAATAACCCACTTTTTTTTTTTTTTGTCAACAACTTAAATAAAATAGATGCTCAAAAGAGCCATTCCTGGGGAATGTTGTTTACATAAGTGATATGATGCGGTTCGGTACGAATTTTTCGTGCCAAATTATCCGTTTTTACATTTGCGCTACGCGGAATTAAAGATAAAGAAAAATTAGAGAATTCTTCCTTGTCACCCTTCAAGTCTTCCAAATACACTAGAACCTCTAGTGGGTCTTTATCCACATTATCAAAAATCTTCTCGTTTCTCGCTTTCCAAATATACCAAATTATCCATGGAAATGAAGATGAATCAATCTCTGATGGAATTCTCCAGAAAAGATGATCCAAGTTCGCGTAAATAGAAGCCGAGGGAAAAACTCCTTTAACCGAAGGGATTGGAGAAAGAGCCCAGATTTGTCTTGCAGGATGACATTCAAAAAGTGTGTGATTAATTCTTTCCTCCACAGCGCCACATCTAACACATCCGGTGTCACAATTTATACCTCTCTTTCTCAGATTCTCCGTAACAGGTACGCAACCTGATAATATTTGCCACAAAAAATGTCGTAGCTTTGGTGGACACTTCACCTTCCATGCATAAGCTTTCAGCGATTTGATATCCGGGCCAAAAAAATTAAGGTTGGCATCAGAAGTCTCTATCCGTGCGGTATGTTAAATAACCCACTTGTTACCTCTAGACCACACCAATATATTTGTAAAATTTTGAATAAAGATTGTATATATCTATTTAATTAATCACATGGGATTAACATTTAACGTCGGTAATGATTTCTTAAGCACGCTAACGGTTGTTAAATCGCGGGCTTGAATCCACCAACAATTCAAAGATAAAATATTTTTATATCAAATATATATAAATGAGGTATTTTTCTTCTAACAAAATTTTTTTTTGAGTATCAAACGTCCAAATAAAAATAGATGGGGTGTTTTCGAGTAATTATCCCGTTAAAATTTAACACTGTTTATTGATTATGTAACGTCCGTTTTGTACTGTTAAGTCGTGGGTTTGAATCTACCAACAATTTAAAGATAAAGTATTTTTAGACTGAATATAATCAATTGAGTTATTTTTGTTTCAACCAAAAAATTTAAGGTGTTAAACGTCTAGATAAAAAAATAGATGGGATATTTTTCGTTTTTTTTTTCTTTTAGTCTTACCACAATTTTTTTTATCTAAAATATTATTAAAAACTTAAATATCCGGTCAAATGGTCGTGGGTTTTTAATTGGTTTTAGTACTTATAGACTGATTTTCCCATTAGCTTTAAACAATGAACTTTCACAACTCTCACATATAGAAGCTCAATTGCAGTAACTAACTTTCTCCTTCACGTTGCTTCATACTCTTCATCTCCTCTTATTTCTAAAACAATCACCATCCTCTGAAGTTGTAGAAAGCATTAGGATCTTGCCAGAATCCTCTTTTAACCATCGGAGAAGCAAATCAGAAAGTTTCTCTGATTTGCTCAAGTAGTCAAATATGACTTTCTTGATTGAAATCTATTTTTTGCTTCATTTTTAACTCTATAACGTGTTTGGTGAGGGTTCTAAGTTCTAACATGATCAAAAATGAATTTCTAGGTCAAATGAGCTTGAGGAGTTCTCGGCCAACCTTTCTCTCCGCCAACGGTCAACGTGATCAACTACCATTGTCGGTGAGTTTTCCGCCAATGCACAGCTTTTCCGATGAATTTCCCGGTCCACAATCAAGTTCTAGTTTGAGTTTTAACATGGTCTCATAAGTCATAACCATCAATTTTGTATGTATTTATATGACCTGGTTACATTTTTGTAATTTTATATGTCTTATATAAAACATAACATGTCAGGAAGAGAAAGTTTATTTTTCACGGTCTTCTTCAGCTTCCGTGGAAAGAAGACCAAAGAAGGGATTGGTAATCGCAGAGTTCAACTGAAACGCAGCGTCTCGAAGCCTGTTGATGTCTGCATCGTGATAAGATAGAGACAAGAACTCAGATCCTTCCTCTGTCTTGAATCCACAAAGCTCCATGAACTCAATACCTTCTTTGTATCTCCCAACTCTCTCATGGAACAAGCGGTTCGTGAGACGGATTCTTTTGTATCTTTCTTCGTCTGGCTTCTTCGCTACGTTCCTCACAATTGTCAGAAGCGTTTCAAATGCCCGCCTCGTGATTCTTGGATCTTCATCCTACAATAAAAAAAAAAACAAGATTTCATTAGCTCTCTTGTTTCTTTTGTTTTTGAATCATCCTAAAACGTTTTCTTACTTTGTGGTTTCGTCTCAATGACCTTAAGCATTCTCTCAACTCCTCTGCTTTCGAGGGAGGGCTTGGCGGCGACATTACTATCCTCTGTAATTGTAATGTTTCGGAAAAACTGTCAGATTCTTCATAGTTTTGAGGTAACAAACAATAGATGAAAAAGCTCTGTACCTTAGAGTCAAGTAAAGAAACTTGATTTGATGTCGAAGCAGATTCTGTTTCGGTTGGCAATCCGCGCCTCCGCTTTCTCTCCAACTATACAGATACATTTAATCAAATCATTTTTCAATTTGAGAGTACAAAAAGATATCAAGATTCATCACCTTGTCTGAATTAACTTTCAGCATAATTTTCTCTCTTGCTTTTTTCTCCTCATCTTTCTCAGCTTTCCTCAAAGCTATGTTCCTGTTTTTATAGTATACAACATTCTTTTATTTAGTTCAAAGGTACAATGTGAGAAACAAACTCTCTTTCTCATACCGTTTTCTTTCGTTTTCTTCCGCAATTCGCTTTGTCTCCATCATCTCTTTCCCTGCTCGTATCCTTTCCTGCAATAGAGAGAGCTGTTAGTGTTCTTCCTGATGACAGTATATGATGCAAGTGTACCTTTTCTCTTTCTCTTTCGCGTTTAGTTTCTTCTTCTTCTCTTAGTTTACGAGCTTGTTCCCTGAGAATACATGAACAATGAAGTCATTTGTCCTTAAAAAGAATCAAGTTTAAGATATATGTTTATGAAAATAAGAGACTTACTTACATTAGTTCCTTTGCTCTTGCCTGAGCATTTTCTGCAGTATCATGAGATGGATTTGGAGACTCAATCTCAATGTTAAATTCCACCTGCAAGACCATCTTTGTTCAAAAGTTTTCTATGGAATCTATTAAAAAGAAATGAAGATGAATAGTACATACCAAAGGCATGTTTTCAAACTGCGAATCGTTCTCATGATCTATGATCCAATTCACAGCTGCTTCAAGGCTAAAGTTACCTAAAGATGAAGAGAGTGACAAAATATGACTGATCCATGACATGATTCTTGGAATATTTTGAAGTGGTTAATACATACCAGAGTGATGCAGAGCCCATGAAGCTCGAGCCATCGAGAATCCCATATCTTCAAGCTCCTTTAGCAATCCTCGATTAACCTCAATTGCAGCATTTTCTGTTTTACCAAAAAACCATCAAGAACAGCTTTATATAACATAGATGATCCCTCAAAACACAAGAACTATGATATGGTCTGATATTGAAACAGAGAAGAATTATTATTGTTACCAGTTTCTTCTGCCATATTTCAAAAAATCTCAGAGACTTCTTGAAGTCTGTATTGGTGAAAGAAGCCGATGCAAGAATGGTATCAATGGTATTTGTATAGGATGTTTCATAATTGAAAATAAATTAGATTTAAGTAATACAGAAAAAAGTTTTCTTTTGTTACTTCCCTTTCCTCAAAGTTTGCAACTTTTTGATTCTATTCAAAACTTGTAACAGAAGCAACAGAGATTTTTGTTCCTTTCTTGCATGTAACAATGAACCATTTTCTTGAATGTAACATATAAATCTGCGTACTATTACATTCACACCAGAAACACTCAAACTCTAAATATTGAAGAAGATGGACCAAAACCACTTAGTTGACGCATCATTGCATCAATCTCATCTCCATCCTTAAGCTCCAGCTAAACAAAACACAGTGAAAAAAGATCATTTATGAATGACTTATATTAATATACTATAAGAATCTTTAAGCTTGAATGATAATACATACCTCATCAGGTGTATGATACTCGCGAATCCTCGAGCCATCAAATAGAAAGCGAAATGTGTTCCACTCGACGCCTCTCATTTTGGTGTACAATTCCATCAATTTTTGCAGCTTAACAGTCCTTCTTACCTTAAACACTTTTACTCCTTCCTCATCCTACATAAATCCACACATGTTATATCAAGTCATGCATGCTAATGTTGAAAATGTAATTTCAACAATCAATTCTTACCTGACCCTTCACGTTCAGAGTAACATGAGTTGATTCCGACTCAACTTTACGCTTTTTCCCTTCTATCTTCACATCGTTGCTTCCATAAGCTCTGCTCTTCTTCGACATTATCTCCACTGGTTGGATCAGATATTTCAGTTCTTAAGAAATGATTACATAGAAATGAATCATTGTATATTTATACAGAAAACTGATGAAGATGAAAAGACAAGAGACGCATTACTCCATCGGTTAAAATTTTATGGTCAATCAATTATTGCTACTCCCAATGTAAAATTTCTAAGATCATTCCTTTAACCAAAAATTCATTGATTAAGGTTTTGAATGGGAAGCTGGAAAAAAAGAATCGACCCATGCATGTAGTGTTAATGTATTTAAGACACCATTCATGTATTTTTTATTTTTTTAAATAAAACAAAAAAATTGCATGTAATGCTCTTGTTACCGAGGCACCATTAATGTATTTAAGTATTTTTGTTTTTGTTTGAATATTTACATTTAAGATTTATGCCAGAAACAAATAAATAAAGAATTGACCCGTGCATGTAGTGCTCTTGTTACCAAGACATATATCATTATTGTATTTTTGTTTTTGTTTTAATTAAAGCAAAAAAACTACATGTAGTGCTCTTGTTACCAATACACCATTCATGTATATAAGTATTTTTGTTTTTGTTTTAATATTTAGATTAAGATTTCTGCCAAACAAAAAAAAAATTGACTGGTACATGTAGTGCTCTTGTTACCAAGACACTCATTCATGTATTTTTGTTTTTGTTTTAACTAAAGCAAAAATGAACTGCATGTAGTGCTCTCGTTACTAAGATACCATTCATATATTTAAGTATTTTTGGTTTTTTCAATATTTAGATTTAAAAATTCTACAAAAACAAAAAAAAAAAGAATTGACACATGCATATAATTGTCCTGTTATCAAGACACCATTCATGTATTTTTATTTTTGTTTTAATTAAAAAAAAGTTGCATGTAATATGTTCTTGTTACCAAGACACCATTCATGTATTTAAGTATTTTGGTTTTTGTTTTAATATTTAGATTTAAGTTTTCCAAAAAAAAAACAATTGATCGGTACATGTAGTGCTTCTGTTACCAAGACACCATTCATGTATTTTTGTTTTTGTTTTAATATAAGCAAAAAAAAACTACATTTAATCCTCTTGTTACCAAGACACCATTCATGTATTTAAGTATTTTTTGTTTTAATATTTAGATTTAAGAATTCTACCAAAAAAAATAAAAATAAAGAATTGACTAGTGCATATAGTTGTACTGTTAGTCTGTTACCAAGACACCATTCATGTATTTTTATTTATGTTTAATTAAAGCAAAAAAAGCTGCATGTGACACCATTTATGCATTTAAGTATTTTTGCTTTTGTTTTAATATTTTAATTTAAAATTTCTGTGAGAAAAAATAAAGAATTGACTCGTACATGTAGTGCTCATGTTACCAAGATACCATTCATCTATTTTTGTTTTTGTTTTAATTAAAGGAAAAAACCTGCATGTAGTGTTTTTGTTACCAAGCCATCATTCATGTATTTAAGTATTTTTGTTTTTGTTTTAATATTTAGATGTAAGAATTCTACCAAAAATAAATAAAGAATTGACTCGTGCATATAGTTGTTCTGTTACCAAGACACCATTAATGTATTTTTGTTTTTGTTTTAATTAAAGCAATAATGCTCTTGTTACCAAGACACCATTCATGTATTTAAGTATTTTTATTTTTGTTTTACTATTTAAATCTAAGATTTCTGCCAGAAAAAAAAAAATTGACTTGTGCATGTACTGCTTCTATTACAAAGAAACCAGTTATGTCTTTTTATTGTTTTAATTAAAATAAAAAACTGCATGTAGTGCTCCGGTTACCAAGACATTATTCATGTATTTTTATTTTTGTTTTAATATTTAGATTAAGATTTCTGTTATTTAAATTATTTTGTAATATTATTTTAAAGTTTGGTGTTTCATATTATATATATATATATATATATATATATATATACGTTTCAAAAGTGTCTATTTCGTAATTTTTAAGAAAATTCGTTTTCACATGTTTCGCTTCTCCGTTTCCGTTTCCATTTCCATTCAACCTACTTACTATTTATAGGTGGAGAGAGGACCAAGATCCGCTTTTAGGGTTTTCTCCGGATTGATCTCGACCGTCCATCAAAGTAGAGCCGGAGGCATGTGTGACAAGTGGAAGCGTAGGAGTTCGACACATGTCATAATTGCGACACTTGTCACGCATGCGCATCGTAATCGTGACACTTGTCACGCATGCAAATCGTAATCGTGACACTTGTCACGCATGCACATCGAAATCGTAACACTTGTCACTCATGCACATCGAAATCGTGACACTTAGAGAAAACGTTTGTAGGCCAGGGGAGAGAAGCCGAGACTCCGACCTTAAGTTTAAAGCTTTCGTCTTCTATTTAGGAAACCGTTCAGGAAGACTTTTTCCGCTGCAATGAAAGGAGGTATTCCGCTAACCCTCTTTATATTTCTATTAAGTGATTAACTCAGATGTTTAAAGATCTTGGGGTTTATGTAAGTTTTCACTTACATGTGACACTTGTCACGTTGGCACATCGAAATCGTGACACTTGTCACGCATGCGCATCTTAATGCGATATTTTTCGCCATTCCACGACACTTGTCACTTTCCGCGACACTTGTCGCGACTCCTTGACATTTGTCGCTTTTATGCGACATTTGTCACCGTTCCGCGACACTTGTCGCCGTTATGCAACGCATGTTGCCATTCCGTGACATTTGTCGTTCGCCTTTAATGCGTATGCTCTTGCATATTCGCCACTTGTCCATGAGCGGAAAACTCGTTTAGGTTACCAATTATAAATTACGGAATAACAATTCTGATAGAAAACCGACGACGACTATACGACCACATAATAGAGAAATGAAATATTTCTTACATTTTGAAATATTTCTTACATTCTCCCACTTGGTCGTTAGTACAGTTCATTATAGTTTTTTCTAGTCAGAAAACATAAGGCCGGCGTAATATGTTATTCCTTTTCTTTTATTTGGTCATCATAAGTGTCTTAGTCAATCCGGTAATCAATGAGAGTCATGGCGGGCACATATCATTTTGCAACATGATTCCTTCCATTACCACTGCATTGACTACTTTCATAACTAGACCATAAACTTATCGTAATGGTCCCTTTTATGTCTTTAAGTACTGACCCATTCTGTTATCATAATTTCCAAAACAATAATGTGTACACATTGGAAAACAGAATATATATAAAAGATGTAAAAGTCATAATGAGCTCAAATAATTGTCAAATATAGGCAATACATAATCAAACAATTTAACTAACGCTATCCTCAAGACTCATACTTTCCGTATGTTTCATAAAGGTCTTAGGCGGTAATGCTTTCGTAAATATGTCTGCGACCATAAGTTCAGTGCCTATATGCTTAATGACAAACTTTTCTCTTTTAACATCTTGCTTAAGTGATAGATATTTAAGGTCCATATGTTTGGAGCCTTTGGATATCCTCTCATGCTTTGAGAAGAAGATTGCGGCTTGATTGTCACAATAAAGAGTTAGAGGCTTGTCAATAAAGCTCAAAGCCCCAAACTCAGGCACGAAATTCCGCAACCAGGTTCCTTGAATAGAAGCTTCATAACATGCGACATACTCAGCCTCCATGGTGGACGTGAAGATTAACTGTGACTTTTGGCTTTTCCATGATATGGCACCTCCACCAAGGAGATATGCATAGCCAAGAGTACAATGTCTAGAGTCACGGCATCCACCAAAATCTGAGTCTGAAAATCCAACCATCTGTGGATGTATTGATTTTCTATATGTCAGCATGAAATTTCTTGTTCCCTTTAGGTATCTCAAAACTTTCTTTGCAGCTTGCCAATGCGCGATTCCTGGGTTACTTTGAAACCTCCCGAGCATGCCCACTGCATGGCTTATATCAGGTCTAGTACAGACCTGTGCATACATCAAACTTCCCACAAGAGATGCGTAAGGATACTTCTGCATTTTGTTACGTTCCATTTCATTCTGCGGACATTGCTTAAGGTTAAGCGTGTCACCTTTATGCATAGGAACAATGCTAGAAGAACACGTCATCATGCCATATCTCTCAAGAACTTTATCAATATATGCTTTCTGAGACAATCCTAAAATTCCAAGTGATCTATCACGGAATATTTCAATTCCTATCACATAGGATGCCTCTCCCATGTCTTTCATTTCAAAGTTCTTTGAGAGATAACTCTTGGTCTCATGTAATAGACCAAGATCATTACTGGCCAATAATATGTCATCAACATACAGAACCAAAAATATGAACTTACTCCCACTGATCTTGAGGTATATACATGGATCTACTATGTTTTCTTTGAAACCGAATTTCGTAATGATTTCATCAAACTTTAGATACCATTGCCTCGAAGCTTGTTTCAGTCCATATATTGATTTCTTTAATTTGCAGACCATATCTTTCTGACTTTCGATTATGAAGCCTTCAGGTTGACGCATATAGACTTCTTCTTTCAAGTCTCCATTAAGAAAGGCGGTTTTTACATCCATTTGATGTAACTCGAGATCGTAATGAGCTACTAATGCGATGATAATTCTGAATGAGTCTTTTCTAGACACAGGTGAAAAAGTCTCACTATAATCGATGCCTTCTTTCTGATTAAATCCCTTGGCTACAAGTCTGGCTTTATATCGTTCTACATTGCCATCACAGTCGAGTTTGGTCTTAAAGATCCACTTACACCCGACTGCTTTGTGTCCTTCAGGCAAAGGAACAATGTCCCAGACTTCATTCTTAACCATTGAGTCTATTTCTTCTTTACTGGCATCGATCCATTTATCAGAATTAATATCTTTCATGGCCTGTGAATAGGAAACCAGATCTTTAATATTCACTTCTCCAAATTCTATTTGATAAAGCTCAAAGTCATCGGAAATAGCAGATCTCCTCGTACGAGTTGATCTTCTTAATGCTGGTTCCTCTTGAGCTTCATGATCATTATTGGCAAGATTTTCATCATGGACTGCGTGATCATTTAATGGGTTTTCCTCATTGTTCAACGGTTCAACAATAAGAGGATCCCCAGCATTCGGAAATAAGGGTAAGGGAATTTCTACCCTAATTTCCTGAATGGTTACATCACGAACTTTATCACTCCCACTAATCTCGCCACTTTCAAAAAATCTGGCATTACTGGTTTCTACTATTCGCGTACTATCTGATGGACAATAAAACCTATATCCTTTAGATTTCTCAGGATAACCAATAAAGAAACCACTTACCGTTCTGAAATCTAATTTCTTTTCATGTGGATTATATTTTCTTGCTTCAGCTGGACATCCCCAAACTTGGAGATGTAACAGACTTGGTTTCCAGCCTTTCCACAGTTCAAAAGGGGTCTTTGGAACTGCTTTGCCGGGAACTCTATTCAAGATATAGACTGTGGTACGTAATGCGTCCATCCACAAGGATATAGGTAGGTTAGCATGACTCATCATGGATCTAACCATTCCCATATATGTACGATTACGCCTTTCAGCTACACCATTCTGCCATGGAGAACCAGGCGTTCTGTACTGCGCAACGATTCCTAATTTCTGGAAGAGTATGGCAAATGGTCCAGGATGTTGTCCCGTTTCGTCATATCTGCCATAAAATTCACCACCTCTATCTGACCTTATGATTTTCACCTTTCTATCTAATTGCCTTTCAACTTCAGTAATGAATGTCTTTACGGCATCCACAGACTGAGACTTTTCATGCAACAGATAGAGATAACAATAACGTGAATAATCATCGATAAAGGTAATGAAATACTTTTCACCTCCAAAAGATGGAACGTCAAAAGGTCCACAAATATCTGTATGTATGATTTCAAGAAGCTGTGTACTTCTTGTGGCTCCTTTCTTAGTGTGTTTAGTTTGCTTACCCTTAATGCAATCTATACACTCTTTAATATTGGTAAAATCAACATTCGGAATGACTCCATCTTTTACCAATCTCTTAATTCTTTCACTTGAAATGTGTCCGAGTCTTTTATGCCACAAGTAATACGAATGTTTTCCACATGTTTTACGCTTAAGTCCACTTTTATCTTGCAGGGTGAGATGTGTTTCAAAATGTTGATCAGCCAAAATTAACATATAAAGACCATCAACTAATATTCCAGAACCAATACGATTAGAGTTCAGAAATAAATTGAAACAACCATCTCCTTGAGTCGATTTAAAACCAGCTAAATCAAGTTTACTTAATGAAACTAAATTACAGGAAATAGATGGAACATACAATGTTTGAAATAAATCTAAACAAAATCCACTATCCATAATGAGACGATAAGTGCCAATAGCTTCAAATGGCACTCTATCTCGGTTTCCCATAAATAAGTAGTTTTCACTTGGATTTATATTCTGAATCGTAAGGAATCCCTGCAAGGAATTGGTTACATGTACATTAGCAGCGCTATCAATCCACCAAGTTTTAGAAGAAACATTAGTGAGATTTGATTCGAAAAAGCTTACTGAACCCATATGGTTACCTTTCTTTTCGAACCATTCTTTTCTTTTAGGACATTCTTTCTGAAAGTGACCAGACTTTTTGCAAAAATTGCATCGGTCATCTTTCTTTGCCTTTTTCTTCTCATTAGCTTTAGTGAAATCATTACTTCTGGGTGGTGCTCTTTTATGGCCTACTTGATGCCTTTTCCCAGCTTTAATTTCAGCTTCTTGGACATAATGGGTAACTTTAATACCTTCACGACCAAGCCTAGTCTCCTCTTGGACCAACTTAATATTCAATTCAATACTGGACCACCTTTCGTTCATAGTATTATAATTGATCTGAAATGGTCTATACTGAGGAGGTAAGGAATTTAGGATAAACTGGACGAGAAATGAATCATCCATACTCATTCCCAAATTCCTTAGCTTAGCCGCAAGGTTGGTCATTTCAATGCAATGTTCATGCATAGACCTTGTGCCATCATACTTCATGGTTGTAAGATCTGCCATAAATTTCCCAGCAAGGGATTTGTCTGCAGTCTTAAACCTCTCTTCAATGACCGCGAGATAAGCTTTAGCTTTCTCAGCAACCGGGAGGGATGATTTGATGTTATTAGCAATTGTCATCCTTAAAAACATAATGCTCGATCTATTCGATTTTTCCCAATCCTTATGGAAAATAAATTCTTCCTCAGTATTGTGCTCCGTTATTGGATTTGGTTCCTCTTCACAGAGTGCCAAATCCAAGTCCAGTACTCCTAATGTGAACTCAACTTTCTCTTTCCATTCTGAGAAGTTGGTACCATTAAGGATCGGAACATTTGAAACCATGGATGACAAGCTATCATGAATTGATGCTACAATTTAGAGATACAACAAGTTTTAAAGAAGTTCTAAAACATAAGCAACACATTACATTAATTGAATAATAAAATAAGAAATTATGGCGCTCCTGTGGGTAGTCACCATAATTTCATTAAAGTCATAATATTCTAAATACGCTAATGAGTGATGTACTGAATTACTTAGACTAAGTTATATGTGGATATCCTTAGGCTTCACAGATACATACACTCCATTAATTTTCAATCATATTTCATGTTTATAGTCTACATGTGGGTAACTAATTATAACATAAATAGATCGAATATGCAAATTAATAATAGGGTAAATTCACTGTGGTGATATCTAAACCCTTAATATGCATTTTAAATAAAATAATTATTTTGTTCTAATAATGAACAAAACAATTGAGCAAAAAATGGGATCTTCGATAAACTATAATTCGAAGAAACCCTAACATTTGCATATAATACTAATTGCAAAATAAACTATAAAATAGCAATATTTCAGATCTGGAAAAAACTCTTTACTTCCAGATCTCTTACTTTATGATATTTAAAATTATAGATCTATTAAACTTTATGGATTAAACATATGTTTAGATCTGGTTCTGATACCACATGTAAGTGAAAACTTACATAAACCCCAAGATCTTTAAACATCTGAGTTAATCACTTAATAAAAATATAAAGAGGGTTAGCGGAATACCTCCTTTCATTGCAGCGGAAAAGTCTTCCTGAACGGTTTCCTGAATGGAAGACGGAAGCTTTAAACTTAAGGTCGGAGTCTCGGTTTCTCTCCCCTGGCCTACAAACGTTTTCTCTAAGTGTTACATATTTTGGAACTACCTTTATGATGGACTAAAGGTTTGTATTTATAGGTGGAGAGAGGACCAAGATCCGCTTTTAGAGTTTTCTCCGGATTGATCTCGACCGTCCATCAAAGTAGAGCCGGAGGCATGTGTGACAAGTGGAAGCGTAGGAGTTCGACACATGTCGTAATTGCGACACTTGTCACGCATGCACATCGTAATCGTGACACTTGTCACGCATGCGGATCGTAATTGTGACACTTGTCACGCATGCACATCGAAATCGTGACATTTGTCACGCATGCACATCGAAATCGTGACACTGGTCACGCATGCACATCGAAATCGTGACACTTGTCACGCATGCGCATCTTAATGCGACAACAAATGTTGTATTTAAAGAAATTTTCCATAATTTCCACCACGTCTGATGAATATCTTCAAGTAATAACTATATTTACAAGTCTTAGTTACGAAAAGCGAGACTCGCTTCAACCAAGATTGAATGGCGACATTTGTCCGGGGTTTCTTGGCTTTGCTGTCAATATGATACATATTGATCCAAAGTACTTGCTTGGTCTCACACCAATGGGACACAACCGTCACACCAATATGACCTTATCATTGGACTAAATATGTTTTTAACTGGTTTTAATATATAAATTTGTATAATAAAGTATATGATTTCTAATATTTATAAACTTACAAAAAGCGTATGCATTGTGGATAAATGTAATAAAGTTAAATGTAATAATAAGATTATCCCACGAAATAAGATATGAGCGAACTAGTTTTATATAATGTTGCACCATCTTCGTATTTTGAAAAAGACAATTTGAAGGCACCATTAACATTGGCCAACTTAGCTCTTTCGTTGTCTGTTACTTAAGTCTATTACTGAACATGTTAGCCACTCATAAAATATTTTCCTAGTACTCAAACACGGTAAAAGATTTACTATGAAAAGGAAAGTCTTGTCCTTGCGATTATGATAGAGATTGACAATTCAACAAGCGGAAAAAGAGATGCAATAATTCTTATCTCAAAGCAGCAAAGCTCAATAGTATACAAAATTTTCAAAATAGAGATTGGAGAAAACAAACTCAGGCAAGAATACACATTGAAGCAAAAGACAGTAGAAGCCTATGCTTGATCCATTCTAAATCCATCACATCTTTGATCCAAACCACAGTGCTGAGAGATACATTCAAGTCTACTAAATTCACAACCTTCATAACATTTTTCCGGCGAGAAACAATCAAAACCACCAATAGACAAAAATAAACTGAAAAACCTCACAATCACCTTGAAGGCATGATGCACCTTGCATCCCACGAGCTGAAGAGTACTCTGCAAAACAGGACACATAAATATGTTTCATATGCATATATCACATGGTCAAATAAGAACACTTCTAAGATCAAAATAAAATCAACGTATGAAAAGATTATGGTCTTTTGATAACTACTACCTATAAAAGGAACAATGGAATCAAATATAAACTATGTATGGTGGAAACAAAATGTTGAACATGACTTAACAATTCAAGGGCATATGGAAACAAAATAAACTATCTAAACATGTGTTAACAATTGAAAAATGCAAACAAATACTACACAGACTAAACAATGAAACGATTCAACAATGGAAACAAACATAAGTGTTACTAAAATCCAGATTAAACAATCAGACAAAACAAAGATTCTAAAATCCTCAAATCCTAAACTAAGTGTATTCACCAAAAAACATGTCTAAGTAGTGTCTAAGTAGCACTAACATCCAAGATTCTTCACTTACATATGATCCATTAAACGTGAAGAGAAGAGATGTTTTAAGCCTCCTTTCCCTAGGTATTCTTTCGTGGTCTCCCCCGGCCTCTCTTTTTTTGATTTCCCTAGGTGGTTTCCTCCTTCTTCTTTTGTGGTCTTCCTGGGCCTCTCTTTGGTGGTCTTCCTAGGCCTCTCTGTGGAGCTGGACGCTTTCCACTCGGGCAAATATAGTTTATTGGGTTTTTTTCCCGAGTACTACGCCTATTATCTGCTGGCTTCTCTACTAACGCCTCTTCGTCCTCAACATCCTCTTTGTCCTCTTCGTCCTCAACATCCTCTTTGTCCTCTTCGTCCTCAACATCCTCTTTGTCCTCTTCGTCCTCAACATCCTCTTCGTCCTCTTCGTCCTCAACATCCTCTTCGTCCTCTTCGTCCTCCTCCTCTTCGTCCTCCTCGTCTTCACGAGACTGTCGCTCTTGACGAGACTGTGACTCAACATCATCAGGTTGTGGCTCAACATCCTCTTCGTCCTCTTCGTCCTCCTCGTCTTCTTGACGAGACTATCGCTCTTCTTCAACTACTTCACGAAAAGGGAAAGTTTGATAATATTCTTCATGAAAAGGGGAAGTTTGATCTTCTTCAACTACTTCATGAGAAGGGAAATTTTGGGGTGGCTGCTCAACATCATCAGGCTGTGGCTGTGGCTGCTCCACATATAGGTTCGGCTCAACATGAGGCTGTGACTCAACATCAACAAAGTTTTAGCCACAGAAAAGAAAAACACAGAATCTAAATATATAGACCAAGCGGGTTCCATGAGGCACTTCTGTTAGTAAAAGAAACACATTATAACACATGTGTTTCATGAGGCACTTGTGTTAAAAAAAAAGAATGATGTACAAACAGTATATCTTTAAACTATGGCACTCTACTTTCGTTTGTGTTAAACAGTATAACATCACCTCATTACTGTCATTGATATGATGACTTGGGCTTGCATGAGATGGAGGTTGTCTTCCCTGCCAGTTATTCAAAAGAATGATGTACAAAATAAACTGGAAATAATTCAATTGTTGAACCAAATTCCCTAATAGTTATTTTCAGCAATTAGGGAATTGGAACTGGTTGAGACTCATCTCCTCTTCCCTAATAGTTATTTTCAGCAAAAAGATGCAAACGTTATGAATTAATTTTCCGCTAAAGAGTCTATACCCTTCTATCTAAATGAATGAACATATAACTTTAAACTTCTTTATATAAAAAAAAATAAAATTTAACGCAATAAACAACTGATCAGATACTATGGCATCACCAATGCCTACCTCTCTTGGTATGTGGGACATACTATGGCATCACAAAGTGTCAAATTAAAACAAACTTGTTATGGCGGTTACTGGAAAAAAACTTGAAATTACCTGCTGTGGAGCTTCAGATTTCCTCACAGAATAGTTATGGCGGTTATCCCACTCTTCATTCACTTTTCTGTAAAACGGACGCACAGCTCGCCAATCTTGTCCTTTTTGTTGGCTAAACTTAACTTTCGTATGTTTACTCCTGCTTCTCGATAGACGTTGCAACTCTGATTTTTTCAGTCTGAGTTGCCTAAAGCATTTGTCCGGACGGTTGTAGGCAACCGCATTGAAACAAATACATGGAACCCGCAGATAGATCATCGACAACTGATCTTTGAACTCATCGGATAATTCACCAAAATCATGATAGGGTTGCCAAACAACTTGCATAAATATAATCAAGCATTTAACTTACAAGAAGAATACATCACAATATATTTGCAGTTTATATCCTAAAATAAAGTATTACCTCATCTCTCTTCATATTCTGAAGCAAATCTCGGAATGTTTCTATCCTGGTTCCCTTCACTGGGGCTTTGGACAAAACATCCATCCAGGCTAACATAAGAGGAATTTTTTTGGCTGGAGGAGTTAGAGAGAGTTCCTCACAGACGCATGCAAACCTTTCTAAAGCAAACACCTACAATAAAGTAACATAGAACAAGAATTGTGAGTATGTATTATGAATTAATGTAACTAATTTTCACTTCATTAAATAAAGACCTTACCATGATAGCATAAACAAACCCAGATATGCTTCCGGTTTTCCTCTGATCAAGAAGAGCCTTGGTGTCATTCAATGAATCTTTTAGAAATCCCACCATCGCGGCGCCCCAAGCGTACTTGTTAACTGTGTTTCTACCCAGGAGTGGTAAATAGATAGGAGAAACCCCTTCGGTATTGTTAGGCATTATGACAGTGCCTAACAAATACAGCAGGTAAGCCTTTAGATAAGCATCACAGTCACGACACCCCTCGGGAACTTTTTCAAATCTTGTTCGCAGCATATTGAGATCCAGGCGGACATTTTTATTTGCGTCTTTTCTCTTGAAATATAAGGCGTCCACCTCTGTTTCAAGTATATTTAATTATTGTGCAATTACAAGAGCAGAGACATTCTCAACTCCAGTCACCTGCATCCCAATTGAGAATACAATAATCAATAGTGAGAAAAATAGTAATGAGGAAAATAGTAATAGTAATTACAGAGAAATACCGGGTCCCCGTCAATCGAAAGGCCAGTTATGTATAAAACATCTTCGAGACTAAAGTCAACAAAAATGACTTATTATCCCCGAAGGAAAATACACTCTCCTTTCTATCGTAGAAGTATGCCAAGGCAGTGAGGAGTGACAAATTTAGGGTGAAAGACTTTCCTTCGTGAAACCGCAGAAAATGTTTGAAGCACGTGGCTTCAACAAGTGTTTCTACTTGTGGATCAACTTTCCACATGGGAAACTTCTTCGCCAGATGCATATTATTTGTAATGGGTTTTCTCTGGTCCTCCATCTTGCCTACAAATTCATGTTGACAAAATCAATGCATCAATAAAAAGAGATGTGTTCACATAACGAAATACAAACCAAGAACACTAACTCAATGACTCATTACAACACATTTACAAGATTTTCTAAATTTGCCAAATTGAATTTCTAACAAGATCTATATATCAACAGAGAAGACGATAGACTATTGTAAAATGTAAAGGAACAACAAAAACCTCATGAAAGCACAAGATATCACAGTTCATTGAATTTAAAACTAATGCAAACGAAAATTCCTATGTAAGTCAGGTAATATACAAAAATAGACGGAAACCAATCAGAAATCAGTGTCCAAATAGATTTAGCTGATGGAAATAGCAAGAGCAAAAACTAACAAACACATTCCTCAATGAAACCAATCAGAAAGAGCTCGATCTAGACTTACTGACCCATAACATGGACTTAGAAACTACACAATTCGTACAAGAAGTAGAATCAAACGATGAAGAAAATAAAATCAATGGAACAATTGAACAAGAACAAACAAACAGACAAGAGGATCAATGACTGTAACAAAGTAACAAACAGAGAGACAAGCTTTGAGTTTCATAAAGAGTGTTATCTTTGACAAATTTCACACATAAAAAAAGACTTAAATATACAAACATAATACCCTTATTTAATATATACCGTTAATTTATATATAATAGCAATCTCAATAAATGCTTTATGCACCTCTGAACAGTTGCGTCTTTTTATCGCAACCTTTCGTTTAATATTTACGGTTATTTCTTTTTGATGGTCTCTTTTTATCGCATCTTTTCGTTGAAATTTTTACGGTTATTTCTTTATAATTGTGTCTTTTAATTGCATCTTTTCGTTAATATATTTACGATTTGTTTTTTACAGGTATATTTGTTCAATTACAGTTATATCTTTTCAATTTACGGTTGTATCTTCATAATTGCATCTATTCATTTAAAGTTATGTCTCATATTATATAGATTTAAATTTTGTTTTTTTAACTAAAATAAATATTTTACGGTTGTTGTTTTCAAAAAGTTGCAATGCGAATAAATACTACGGTTGCATCTTTTAATCGTAACACCTCATAAACTATTGCGATTGTTTAGTTGAACCATTACAACATTTATGTTTTCATAAAAGTTGCATATGTTCAGTTTTTAACTATCAAAATTTTGAACAACTGTGTTTTTTTGTTGCAACCTTTTGTTGAGTTTTTTTTAATAACTATAAAATACGATTTATGGTTGTGTTGTTTTTTAAAAGGTGCATCTATTCAATTTTTAACTATAAACTATAAATTTTATGGTTTTGTTTTTTAAAAAATTGTATCTATTCAAAGGTCAAAAAGGTTTGTCAAATAAACTTTTTCATTTTACGGTTGTGAAAATTGCATCTTATCAATTTTTAACTGTAAAATATAAATTTTATGGTTTTGTTTTTTTAGAAATTTTCATTTGTTCAAAAGTTGCAACAGTTCATTTTTGATAACTATAAAATATAATTTACAGTTGATTTTTTTAATAAAAGTTGCATATGTTCAATTTTTAACTATATAATAAAAACCTTATGGTTAGTTTTTTAGATAGTTACATTTGTTCAAAGGTTGTAACAGTTCATCAAATAAACTTTTTTATTTTTACGGTTGTGTTTTTATAATTGCATCTATTCATTTATAGTTACGTCTCTTCATTATATTCATTTTTTTAATGAAATGTGAAATTAATTGATGAGAATAGAAATTATTTACAACAAATGAAATAATAGAGCAAACGAGAAATAGAGCAGAAACATAAATCACCATCTTTCCTATTGTATGCCAAACAGAAAAAATCTGAGCGTGAAACAAATTTTTATAGCGATTTTCTAGATGGTGTTGTTAAACATTTGTTTTTACCAAGTCACACTGACGTAGTAAGTTACAATATGTGGAATTTGGTGAGTGACAAATCAATGCTTGAAATGAGGTAGACTATGAAAGAGGTGATGAAGAATGACGTTCTAAATACACATTTCAAAGCTTAAGTGAAGAGAAGGCCAAGATTATCTTGATGGAGAAGAAGTTCTTATATCTCTTAAGTGAAGTGATATTTGAAGAAGAAATCTTCTTCAATCTCATAGAGAGGAAGAGAAGGAAAATCATACATATAAAAGTAGGGTTTTACCCTCCCATGATTAGTTCACTTGGCAATATAATTTTTTTTAAAAATTATTTCAATTAAACCACAAATAAAAGATATTTAATTATATACATTTAATTCACAATTTAATATAAAACTTAAATCATATAAATTATGCATTAAATATATTCTCCACTCAATTTTATTCAACATACAATCAATTAGAATTGTAACTCCCATATTCATTTTTTAAAATTGTAACTTCTATCACTTCTCATCCTATAAATACTCATTTTTTCATTCTCTCATTCTCTCATTCTCTCATCTTCTTCCACTATATTTCAATTTTTTTTAATTATTGTTTTGTGTTTTTTATTTAGGTTGTGGTTGTTGTTGTATGGGTTAAAAAAACTCAAATTAAATATCATTGTAAAGGCTTAATTCAATATTTTAATTTCTACATTAGTTTTTTTATTTTTTTTAAGATTCATCTCCATTTTCTATTTTAGATTATCATCTTATAAGTAATCATTCTCTCATCTTCTTCTACTATGTTCATGTATCTATTTGTTTTTTGTTATATGGGTTGAAATCAATGAAAACATCATTGTAAGAATTTGATTATAATTTTTTTCTCAATTTTTTTAGTTTCTAACACCATACTAGATTACACATATTTCTTCTTCAATTAATATTTTTAATTTTAAATTAACATATGTAAAATAAAAGTTTTGATGGCTATAACAAAACTTTTAGGTTTGTTGGTGATGGAAAATTGAAAATATAAATTCTAATCATCGCACAACAAGGGAGTAAAGTTGAAAAGATCTATTTTCATTATTTACGTTGGATTGATTATTTTTTAACATATTCATGTATTTTTTAGTTATGCAATATATAATGGAATAAATTATTCTTATAAATTTATCAGATATTTGTTCCTTACCTCTTTCTTATCTCGAATAAATTTCTTTAATTCATTTTTGATATATATATATATATATATATATATATATCACTATATTTATTTTTGTGATCCAATAGATAATTATATTAAGATTTATTGTAATTTTTATTTTATTTAAAATTTGAGGTTTATGTGTTTTTCAAAAACAAAACGAAATTTGTTAAACAAATTTGGTCCTTAAGATTAAAAAACAAATATGAAATCATATGTTTAATGAAAATTATATTTAGTTATAATTAGTTTTAGTAGAAAATTAGAATGAAACCTAACACACATACTTAAATGGAGTGAAATATAGAAGAAAAAAAACTATAATAATAAAAAAATTTATTAAGTCCTATAAACATGAAACTATTAGTATGAAATCTAGCAATAGAATTTTAATTAATGAGTAGAATTATAAAACAAAAACCTTCTATCCTTGGGGGGTTCTATTTTTTAAATAACTTTAGATTGAAGTTCATATGATTTTGTAAGTGGCAAACTTGTTTTCTTACAAAATCATATGAGTTTGAACTATTATGTGGGAGTTTATATCAAAAAACAAACAAATTATTTATGAGTTATATCAATTTATTTTGTAATATATGAAATATATTTACTAAAATATGTGCAAATGCAAGATATCAAATCGTAAGAGCCGTTTAAATTTCTTCTAATTATACTTATATTGCAACAAAATTATAGAAATTATTTTAAAATTATTTTTAAAATGATTTCATTCTTATTCTCTACTGTGGAGTTTTGATTATTTCCTTACATATTCATGTATATATTTTCTAAAATTATGTGATCTTCTAATAAAATATATTTTGTAAGAAGAAACCTCTTATTTCTTACGTTTGTTTTAATATAATCATAGTAAATATATTTAGAAATGACGAGAAAAATTTATATAACTTTGTTCAGCCCATTTGTTTGGATTTTAAACACGTACAGATAAATAAATAAATAAAAACTAATATACATTGTTAAAACCAGTGTTCTAAGCTAAGCGGTCGTCTAGGACCCAACTAGGCGCTAAACTCTCATGCGACGCTTAGATAACCGCCTTGAACGCTTAAAATTACATAGATCTTGTTTAATGTATTTTTTAATTTCAATTAAGTTTTATTTATATATATAGTTATAAATATTCATATATTGTTTAATATATATATATATATATATATATATATATATATATTATCTAGTTTTTGTTTATAATTTCGTAATTTTTAGTTTTATATAGATATTTTATATAACTTTTATATACAATATCATATTTATAATGTTTTATGTTATAAACGTCTAAACCGCCTAATCGCCTAGGCCCCGATTAGGCATTCTACGCGCTAGGCACTGGGTCACCGCCCGCTTAGCGCCTAACGCTTTCTTGAACATTGGTTAAAAACTTAAAACATTCTCCAACTTTTAAAAATTTTGTAAATCTATC